TCCACTCATCCACTCACTCCACTCCAACCCCACGCCGTCCCTCACTTCCTCTCTCCCTGCTTTCACCCCTGCAGGGGAGAGTCCCCCCTGGGTCCCTAATTTCCGTCTCTTTGTCCCCACATGCAGCGAGTATTCGGTCCTGGTCTTCCACTCACTCCCCCCTTCCACTCCACCCCCACTGTCACCCCTGCAGGGGAGATGTCCCCCTGAATTCCAGCCTCATGCTGCTTTGTCCCCGCATCCAGCAAGTATTCAATGAAAACCGTCCCTCACTTCCTCTCTCCCTACTTTCACTCCTGCAGGGGAGATTTCCCCGTGGATCCCAGCCTCCTGCTGCTTTGTCCCCACATGCAGCAAACACTCAGTCATGAATCCTGATCTTCCACTCACCCATGCTCCCACTGTCACCCCTGCAGGGGAGATTTCCCCCTGGATCCCAGCTTCCTGCCAGTTCATCCCCACCTGCAGCAACTATTCAGTCATGATAATCCACTCACTCACTCACTCACTCACTCACTCACTCACTCCACTCCACCCCCACTCTGACCCCTCTAGGTGCGATTTCCCCCTGGATCCCGGCCTTGTGTCGCTTCATCCCCACATGCAGCGAGTATTCAGTCTGATCCTCCACTCACTCACTCCACCCATTCCACCCCCACTGTCACCCCTGCAGGTGAGATTTCCCCCGTGGATTCCAGCTTCCTGCCGGTTCATCCCCACCTGCAGCAAGTATTCAGTCACAGCTCTGTGCAAATACTCACCTCATCCTCTCCCTCCCTCTCCGTCCCTCTCTCTCTCCCACTGTCACCCCTGCAGGGGAGATTTCTCCCTGGATCCCAGCCTCATGCCGCTTCATCCCCACCTGCAGCGAGTACTCAGTCATGGTCTTCCACTCCCTTTCCCCACTCCGATCCACCCCCACTCTCACTCCTGCAGGGAAGATTTCCGCCTGACTCGCTGCCACGTGCCACTGTGACCTTACACGCAGCAAGGGCTTGCTCCTGATCGTCCGTTCCCTCCGATTTCATCTCTGCAGATAATGTTCCCTCTGTATCCCGGCCTCCTGTCGCTTCATCCCCACATGCAGCGAGTATTCAGTCATAGCACTGCGAAATATATTCATCTTATAAATATTCATCGCATCCCCTCCCTCCCTCTCTCTCTCTCTCACTGTCATTCCTTCAGGGGAAATTTCCCCCTGGATCCCAGCCTCGTGTCGCTTCATCCCGACATGCAGCGAGTACTTAGTCATGGCACTGCGCAACTATTCATGATAGTTTTTCATCTCATCCCCTCCCTCCCTCTCTCTGTCTCTCACTTTCATTTCTACAGGTGAGATTTTCCCCTGGATCCCAGCCTCCTGTCGGTTTGTCCCCACATGCAGCGAGTATGCAGTCATGATTTTCCACCCTCTCATCCTCCACTCCACCCCCACTCTTATTCCTACAGGGGAGATTTGCCCTTGGATCCCAGCTTCCTGTCGCTTCATCCCCACATGCAGCGAGTATGCAGTCATGGTCTTCCACTCACTCCCCATCCCTCTACTCCACCCCCACTCTCAACCCTGCAGGGGAGATTCCCCCCTGGATCCCAGCCTCCTGCCGCTTCATCCCCACCTGCAGCATGTACTCAGTCATGATCTTCCACCCTCTCGTCCTCCACTCCACCCCCACTCTTATTCATGCAGGGGAGATTTCCCCCTGGATCCCGGCCTCGTGCCGGTTCATCCCCACTTGCAGCAAGTACTCAGTCATGAATTTCCACCCTCTCGTCCTCCACTCCACCCCTACCCTCACCCCTGCAGGGGAGATTTCCCCCTGGATCCCGGCCTCGTGCCGGTTCATCCCCACATGCAGCGAGTACTCAGTCATGGCACTGCGCAAGTACGGCCTTCTAAGAGGCGGAATTCTCACTGCGTGGAGGTTGTTACGCTGTAACCCTTTCGGTGAGGAATTTTGTGTGGTTGTTATGGGATTAAGTGCTCGTGGTTATTTTGGGTTGCTGTCCAACAACTCGTTCAATGTAGATATTTCGTGGGTTTTGCCAACTTGCTGGCCTGATATTGGATGGAATTCTGTTTGCAGGTCCATCAGGTTATGACCCTCCACGTTGGTTTGGGGAGCCTCCCCCTCCTTCCATATAACTTAGGCTATCAAGCCATGCTGCACAGCTGTACGTGCTATTGATGACGTCTGCCTGATTTTCATGTTTGTGTTTAGCAAATGTTTTTTGCTTCCATTTAGTGTCTTGATCGATACACATTTATTAAATCGAAGCTTCGTTCACCAACTTCAGCCAGTCAGTACGGACAATCACTGTAGCAACGTACGGTTCCTTTCAACAATTTGAGACTGGTCAGCTCAGCTGTACAGCTGGCAGCTGAAACGGACACAATTGCTGTACTGTACTGTATGACCGTTTCAGCAGCAGCACCACTCTCCTGCCGTTACAGTACACCACCTGCTGAATTGCAAGCGCTGCCATAGGCCAGTGGGCACACCTCGTCTCACTTGCGTCACTAGACCGGACCGAGTGACGACGAGCCGAGCTTCCGTCCGTCCGAGCCTCAAGGGATTCCTCCCGAACCTTATCAAAGGGTTACAGCGTTTTTGGCTTCGTTTAGGTTTCGGGAACCCTTTTGAGGCTTGAATTTTCGTCAGCGCGGGAGCCGGTCAACGTTATCCATCCAGAATTTTCCATGCATCAGCCCTAGCTTCATCCCGAACCCGAACCTCCCTGTTCGAGTGAAGTTCGACGCGGCCTGTAATTGTAACCGAGGTTCGGCTGGTTTGTTTCTGACCAATAAATGTGGCTCGGTGAAGCCTGTCATGTGCGATCCAGGAAATGTCTAGGTGTGAAACTCGGCAACCCGCCATGGCCAGAATTCGGACCACCTTCGCAGCAGCAGGGATTATTTGGCAGGAGAAGCAGCAGAAGCAGATTCTCGGCCATGGCTACAATGCGTGGACGATACTGATGTCAGCTGCAGTATCACGGGACAGCCCGCACATTCTCGCAATAACACACAATTCCTTCCACTCACGCCTCTCTTTTCAATCGTACTTGGTGGATTTCGTGGCGTTTTAATTCCCCTCGTCAGGATCGTTTGCCACAATGAATGGAGAAACGGGCTCCGATTTTGCAGAACTGCATGACTATCACGCTCAAGCGCGTCGAAGGGAACACGGGGAGATGAAAAGCAGGGAAATTCTGCTAGGGAGGAAACGGCATTCGCGGAACCAAGGTCTGCGCGGAGCTGCCCTGCGCATGCTCGCTTGCGCGGCTCCTCCGCCGACGAATGGCTTCACAAGTGATAACAGCGGGAGTGATTCTAGTAGCGACGACGAGGCAGACCACGCGCGCCGGAACCAGAATTCGTACGCAACTGGCGGAGATGAGACGGGAGGACGCCGAGTTCCGCAACCCTCCGTACCTGATCAGATATCCCACGGAACTTTCCGAACCGGTTTAAACCCGAAGCATTGGACCCTCAGTCTATCGTCTCCTCCCCTTCGACCTTCTCCTCCTCCTCCAAGGACCTCTCGAGATCATCGGATCATCTCGACGAAGAATTACATGAATGCGGAACCATCCCAACGGTCAGAACAAGCCCACGGCGAATCAGATAAGAGAAAGGCTCACAGGGGTCGACGAACGGTCATGATTCCTCCCTGCATGACCGCTCCGCCTGCGCTCTCCCGGCCGAGCTCTGCTGTTGCTCAAGATCAAGAAAACCCAAGGACTCTCACAGGTCCAGAATCTTCTTCCATATCTTTATCCAGGGAGACGGAACCCGGCCGAACAAATTTTCCTGACAAGATACTCCCATGTAACTCCACCTCCAGCAGTGCTCTTCCAATGAGTCATTCTGATGATCATGCCGACCAATCAGTCAGTGTAGCATCCTCCTGCGTCTCCAAGCCACGGGCCGATAGCAGTGTTTTTTTCTCCAGCCATCCCTGTCGCCATGGCTTCAGCTCCCTCAGCAGCGGATCCAAGAATTCGTCTGGCGTCACCGCTGGTGAACAGGGGAACTGTGGAATCGACCTGAATGCCAAGGGGTATTTCGATGTTACGCTTTTTGAGACGCCACATACGCCGTCGCATCTTGCGCCGGTATCCCTCTGCTCCCCCCAGTCAACCCTTGTGTCGTCATTCTCTCCGACACCTGTGCCTGGGGTTACCTCCCCTTGTTCCCAACCTGACTTCACTCCATCCGTCGGCTCCTCTGATCTCTGTGGCTCATCTGTCACCCCTGATACAAGCACATTCTCTGGGATATCTTCTCATGGTGCCGTGGCAGTTTCATTTCCCAAGAATAAAGACATCAGCCCATTATCTCGCTCTCGTCATGCCTTGGAGCAGCTGCAGACGTCCCACCTGAGGAGTGAAGAGTGTGGAATTGCGGGGGTTGAAGGTGCTGGCTATATTGAGAACGATGAGCATGAGGAGTTAAGCGGCGATGAGCAGGGTTACAGGGATAGTATGGAAATAAATGGGGTGAGTGAGGAGGAGAGGCTAAGGATAAAGCTTGCGCACATTGAGGAAAAAATAGAAAGGTTGAGGAGTAAGCGGATGGAGTATGTTGAGAGGCTCCAGCATGTTCAGTCTAATAAAGAGAAACTGGCAGGGCCCATTCAGCAGTGGCTGAGGCCACCTGCTCGCTTTAGCATACTATGAAAATCATGGTACAGTGATATTTTTGTCTCACAAGACACCCAACGTAGCCATGATGCTTGCGACCTGAACGCAGAGCTCAAACGTGTTCTAGAGCATTATCTGAATGACACCCTGTTAATTATTACTGCTGCAGACACTCAACAGAGTCATGATGCATGAGATAGATGCGTAAGCAAGCACAGCTCACATGCTCTACAGCAATCAGTTAGCACACACACAACCACATTAGCTCACACCCCACCTCTGCTGCACACCAGAAGAACCTCCCTTATCAAGTCAATCAACCGCGAGCATGCTACCATTGCCACTCTTCTGCGCCCATGCCACTCCGACACCCATGCCACTCTTCTGCGCCCTCTGCTCCGCTCCTCTCCACTACTGCCGTGCCACTCTTCAAAACTCCTGCTACGGCTGACAATCCTACTTTTGCTCCTGCTTCTCCAGCTGCTGCTGCTGCTGCTGCTGCTGCTGCTGCTGCTGCTGCTGCTGCTGCTGCTGCTGCTGCTGCTGCTGCTGCTGCTGCTGCTGCTGCTGCTCCCCATTCCTCAACCTCCTCCTCTGCTCCCATCACTACACACAAAGTACCTCCTCGGCAGTCGAATTCCTGGTTATTGTTTTCAGCTCATTGCCATTGCTTTCCATTTCCTCCCACTACTGGAAACTTTTTGCCAGTTTTGACTTGACAAATCAGCCCATTTCTGAATTTATGATCCAGCCCCCCAACCACTGCTTTCCACTCCTTATTTCTCCTTGTTTTCTCCGTCGTCCTTACCTCCACCACAATCAACCCCTTTCCACCTCCAACATCATAACGCTGCTCCCACCTTTTTCTATTATAAACCCCCCCCAACCATCCTCCTCACACCATTCCCCCAGCAAACCTTAGATTACTAACTCCCCCTTACCATTACCCCTCCTCCACCACAGTAATTTTCCTCCTCTTCCTCCCGTGCCTTTCGAATTTATGGCCCCCCTTACAAACATATTAGCCTCCCATTCCACCATGGTGACCACCACTTTTACTCCTTTCCCCCTCCACCATTATTAGCACCCCATCCCGCCATTATTATCACCACCGCTTCATACCCCCCGTCCTTACTCCCCCCGTTCTCCCTATTTCATTCCAGGCGACTCACAAGCATCAGCATCTTGATAAGAAACGAAACGGACGGCGGCGACGATTGCAGCGAGGGACCCCTCTCCCTCCCGCATCTACTCCCCTCATCCCCTCCTCTCGGAGAATCAAGACAAAAGCGCTTCACGCGTCGACCAAATCTCCTCGTGGGCCTTTCGAATCGTTTCATGGGTTGAATGCTTTTCTTTCTCCCCACCCCATTCTATCCACAACCACTTCCTTTTAAGAACACTCTCCTCATCGCGCTCTCCTCCCCTGCATCTGCTCTGCAGCAACTCCACTTGAGCCTTGCTGCTACCTCCGAGTCCCTCCCAGAGTAGCCAAGCGCCTTCACAGTCTGAGCGCTGTCTGCCCTGCCCTGGGTGGGAGGGCAGACTGGGGCTAACAGCGCGCGTCTCTCAGGGAGTGCCCTGAGCCTGCCCAAAGCCTCAGTCTCCACTCGCGCCTCTCTTCCCTCCCCTCATCGCGCCAAAGACCACTCTTCTCACGCCCATTCCTCTCTCTATTCAGAATCCTCCCTCCCCTGCATTTGCAGCAGCTCTAGCCTTGCTCTTACACCTTAAAGACCCGTTCCGAGTCAACTCGTGTAATACCTCCATCATCCCCTCCATCCACCTGCCTCCTCCCCTCACCCCCCTTCCCCTCCCCCCCCCTACGACACTTCGGCTCACCCCAACCACTCTACTCGGAATCCTCCTCCCCCTGCATCTACAACAGCTCTACTAGAGCATTGATCTTGCTCTTTGCCCACACACACAGAGGGAACCCTGCCTCCCAGCTCTCACTCCAGCCCACTCTACTCACAATCCTCCTCCCCCTGCATCTGCAGCAGCTCTACCAGCGCTTTAGCCCTGATCTTACACCTGACCCATTCCGGGTCAACTCGTGTAACACCTCCATCATGCCCTCCCCCTGCATGCCTGCTCCCCTCACCCCCCCTTCCTACGACAATCCGGCTCACCCCAACCACTCTACTCAGAATCCTCCTCCCCCTGCATCTGCAGCAGCTCTACTAGAGCTTTAGCCTTGCTCTTACACCTCGAAGACCCATTACGAGTCAACTCGCGCAGCACCTCCATCATGCCCTCCCCCTGCATGCCCCTGCAGCAATCCGGCTCGCTATTGGCCAGCATCAGCAGAGTCATCACCGCATCCTCCTTCGCTCTCTGTGAACCGCCCTCCACCACTGCAACCAACGCCGGAACCGCACCGTTGATCCTCAGCACCGCTTCACACCCCTCCTGAAGCCTGCACAGGTTGGCCAGCACAGCCATGGCCTTTTCTTCCAGCCCGACTTCCGAGCACCCCAGCAGCCCGAGCAAAACTTTTACTGCGTCTGCCCGGACGATTTCCAGCCGGCTTTGCGGGTCTCTGGATAGGTTGAAAAGTACCAGCGCCGCATCTTTCTTTCCGCGCGTGCTGCCCATACGCAGCACGCCGACCAATGGGAGGATAGCTCCCGCTTCTCGAACCAGCGTCTGATTCGCCTCATCCACCGAAAGCGCGAAAAGGGCAGCCGCCGCGTTTTCCCGGGCAGCCGGGCTGCCCGAGCGAAGAACATCCGTGATAGCCGCAATCCCCCCGACAGACGCTATAATAGCCGGCGCCCCTGCAACTAGAGAGAGATTCAGCAGAGCGGTTACGGCCTGGTCTTTCCCTGCAGGGCTGTTTCTCTGCAGGAAGGCCACCAGGGGTGGTATACCACCAGCTGCGATCAGCTTCGCCTTGTTCTCCTTATTGGCTTTTAGCAAAGCGCGCACGGTGCTTACTGCTTCCACCTTCTCTGCGTCAGAGTCGGAAGCTAGAGCCTCGACTAGAGCAGGCAGATCAGCAGCAGCAGCCGCAGCGGCAGAGGAAGAGGAGGAAGAGTGGTGGTGGCCTTTTAGATCTAGGTCGCTCCCGCTGCTAGAGGAGTGACTCACGCTGTGCGTTTTCCTGTGGCTGCCGCTGCTGCGGCTGTGATGAGTGCTGTGACCGCCACTGCTGCTGCTGTGGTGGCTGCTGCTGTGGTGACCACTGCCGCTGCTGCTGTTGCCATGCCCCCCACCACCGTGAGACGTGGTGCCAATGTGACTGCTGCTTCGGCTGTGCGTGCCCGCACTGCTATGAGGACGAGTGGGTCTATGCCCCTCCTTATGCCCCTCCTTATGCCCTTCCTTATGCCCTTCCCTATGCCCTTCCCTGTGCCCTTCCCTATGCCCTTCCCTATGCCCCTCCCCCCTATGCTCATCCCTGTGCCTCTCCTTGCTTGCTTCCCTCAAGCCATGCGCGTCCCTGTGCCCATCCCGTGCCCCATACCCCTCTCTCTCCCTCTGCGCGCGGTCATGTTCTATCTTCTTATTGGCTGGCATGGAAGACGTTCTGTGCAAGCCCCCTCCCCCTCCCCCTCCCCCTCTCCCTCCCCCTCCTCCGCTCAGTCCCCCCCTTCCTCCTCCCCCTGTTCCGCCTAACCGCCCTCCTTCTCCTCCCCGCCTTTCTCCCTCCCCTCCCCCTCTTCCACTATCCAACCCTCCTCCCCTGCTTCCGCTTTCCCCAAACCCTTGTCCCCCACGCCCGCCTCCGCCATCCTCCCTCCCCCTATCCCTATCCCTCTCTCTCCCACTCTCTCCTCCTCTCCCACCCTCCCCTCTCCCATCCCCCCGTCCTCCTCTCCTCCCACTCCCCCTAGCACCCTCCCCCTCCCCCTCACTCCCATCCAACGCCCCCCACTTCCTTATATCCGCTGACGTCAGCCCGGGCTGGACTGACGTAGCCCTTCTCAACCCCCCTCCTCCTCCTCCTCCTCTCGCTCCGAACCCCCCACTACTCGGCCTCAACCCTCCTCCTCCTCCCAGCCCTCCGAACCTAGTGGGAGGAGTCTTAGGGCGCAGACTTAAATCCTCAACTAGGTCTTTTCCAGAGGCGAAAGTGACGCCTCTGGAGCCTCTTGGGCTTTTGGAGAGGGAGAGAGACGAGGGGAATTGCCTGCGGGCTGGGCTGTCCGAATCTGCCTTGGTGCTGGTGGTGGCGCTGCTGCTTCTGGGTATGTCTGGATTGGTGTTGGTTTTGTTTTCGGCATGGCTGACTGAGAATGAAAAGGGCTCGTTATTGTCACGCTCGCCAGAGGAACCCGTTCTCCTGTGCGCTCCCCCTGCTGATGTTCCTCCCTCCCCACCCCCCCTACCACCACCACCACCCAGGTCAGCACCAGCAGCGCCACCACCACCACCGCCACTAGCTTTCAACTCCTTCACAAAATCATGGAACGAAAACGCATCCTCCGAGTCCCCACCTCGTCCCCCTCCGCCTCCCCCCAAGCCTCCCCCTAACCCTCCGCCTCCCCCGCCTCTCAACCCCCCCGCACTCCCCGGCCTATCCTTCGCGCCCACAGGCACGAGAGACGAAGCTCTACGAAGGCTGGAAAGCGGCCTCGATTTTCCCGAGAGAACCACTCCCCCCACCCCAGGAACGCCCGCTACTGCCGCTCCCCCCGTTAGAGGCACAACGGGGAGCCCCGCCAACGCGCCGCCGCCCTTTTCTAGCACCCCGCCGCCCCCCCCGCCGCTGGAGGAATCGTGGAGCGAAACGGAATGGCCGCGTCTGTGGGACTGAGATAACTCGAAGCCCTGTTTTCCTTCCTGGCCGAGAGAGCTTCTAAGAGGGCTCATAGGCGGTTGTCCACCGGCGGAAAGCAAGTGCGGAACCCTCCCGCCCTCCCCCCCCGCGCCTTCCCCCCCCGCGCCCGCGCCCTTCCCCGCGCCTTTCCCTCCCACGCCTTTCTCCTCGTCCACCTCTTCTAGCGCGCCAAAGAAGGAGTCGCGCGCGATCTTGCGCGAGTTGCGGGGCTGCAGGGATCCGCTCCGCAGAAGCCCCATTCCGCTCCGCCGCCCCACGCTTCCCCCGATCGGCACCCTGTTTCCGCCCAGTCCGCGGAAGGGGTCTCCGCCCGCTCCCCCTCCCCCGGCTCCCAGCCTGGAAAGTCCCCCCCCCGCTCCGCCCGCGCTCCCCGATTCCCCCTTGCCCCTGCTTCCCCCAATCTCAAACTCTCCGCTGCTAGGGTTGCTGCCTCCGCCACCCGCTAAGTTTGATAAATGAGATAAATTCCTGCCCCCGCTATTAGAACTTCTGTCATACTCACCACTCCTCCTCCCACCCTTCTCTTCCCGCTCCGAAGAATACTCCTTCTCCAGCCGAAATTCCCCGCTATTGCGCCGCTCGTTAGAAGAACGGTCACGATCGTCATCCGACCGGAAATTCCGCTCATCGCCATTATCCCTATGCCTGTCCCGGTCCGAATCCCGATCCTTACTCCCCCCACGCCTCCCGTCAGAATCTTTTTCTCCTGCCCGCTTCTCTCCCAGCATCTCCTCAACCGCCTCGTGGAACGCGTCTTTTCGTCCGCTGCCCGCGCGGCTGCCCGAAGCGGAAAAATTCTGCACCTGAACGGATGTCGATCGGCGCATTGCGCTCCCCATTTTGCGCCCAAGGCTTCCGCCCGCCATCACCCCCGCGCCCCCCAAGTTCAGCCGGCGGTTCATGATTCCGCCGTTCCTCCCCATCTCGCCGTCCTGCCGTCCGCGCTCCTCCGGATCTCCCCCCTCCCGCCGGCCTCCGGAGAGCTCGTTCCTGCTTCCGCTCCGCCCAATATCCCTCCCCCCTTCCCCGCTTCCGCGCAAGCCGCCGCTTCCGCCTCCGCCGTGGCCCCCGTCAAGCGGATCCGCAGCTCGGCGCAACCCGAGGGACTTCTCTCCGCCTGCGCCAAAGCCCTTTCCGCCGCCTCCCCCTTCTCCGCTTCCCCCCTTCCCCTCGCCTTCCGCACCCTCCGTCTCTTTCAGCGCGCGCAGAAACGCCCCCATCGCGCCCGCCTTGGGTTGCAGCGACTGCGATCGGGAAATCTTGACCGTCCGCGTGGCACCGCTCAGTAGCGCATTCGCGCCGCCGCCTCGCAAGCCAACTGCGAGTCCCGGCGGCGTCCGCGGAGGTTCCGCGTATCCGCGGCCGCCAATGGCGCCACCGGAGGGAGTGAGCCCGTTAGAATTAGGCGCGCCGTTTCCGCCGACAAGTCTGGGCGTAGACGCTTGGGCTCGCTGCAGTTCCTGACGGAAACGGATAACCTCGTCCATGTGCTCGGGTGACGATGACGGCAGAACGCCATTGTGGCCGGCAGTTTTACCGGTCGGGCTTGACGGATCGATCTGGGTTACAGTTAGACCGGGAGCGAGATGTAACCCGTTCGCGTCGCACCAATCAGAAGTCAGCTGACGCAACGCCTGGTTGGGGAAGAGACGCAAGTGCTCTTGGTGTTTCCCCGTTATAGGGCAGACTCGCTTACCCTGTTGAAACCATTTCTCTATGGCGCCGCGTTCGAAGGTCTGACCCGACCCGATAATTACAGGATCCGATAAGAGCTGGTGCGATAGCGGGCAGATGAACTCCGGTGGGACTACAGGATGCTCGCCATCATGGTTAGGCTGTTCTAGCCGGTAAGCTGCTGACCCTGACATGGCTCTCGGGACCCTTAAAAAAAGGGCCGGCCTGAAGTTAAGGTGTAAATAAAATATAATCTCCTCAAAGTCAGAAGGTAGTAGTAAATTAAATACCACTTATAATGAGAAAGAAAGGTTAAATCAAAGACCCAGATGGAAGGGCTACCTCTTCAGAAGCTAAGCTCGCCTTGGCGACATGGAGTTAATTGCGACCACTTATCCAGCCTTCGTCACTGCATTGCAACTTCGCCAGCATGAACTCAATTTCGGCTACCCTCCAGGCTGTTTCACCCCGCAAAAACCTTGTGCCGGCATACGAAAGGGCACCGGCGTTGCCCCAATTTCAGAACACCAAAGGTCGGTTAGCAGACAGCGTTCTCAACGACAGGAATGACTGCACTGAGAAGACAAGAGGCGGTTCGCAAGAGCAGCAGGCAGCAGCCATGAAAATGATAACAGCACAGTGTGCTCTGCCCAATTAGGCAAGGCAAGTTCAACCCTGTCTTTGAAAGCTGAAGCAAAATGACAGTTACTGTGGGTGGAAGGTACAGGTGTGCCACAAATTATTATATCCTGCAGAACCAGAGATTGTACAATAATTACCGTTTTATAACGCACATAACCTCATTGAGGGCATCCCAACGAACTTGTCGCAGATGCCCTGAGGGAGGAACGAACAGCGATGATCTCGGCTCGAGAACATCGGCGGCAAGTTTCGTGTGAGCGACGTGGGCGACGTTATGGGAAGGGCGAGTTCGGTGTGAGGAACTGATGTGCGACATAACGAAATCCAATCCTCCAATCAATGGAGCTGACGGGTAACTTCAAGAAACATTTTGTCTGTATCAGTTAGTGGACGATGAATGGGTACGGTGCTGAAAACGGGGGCAGCGCGGATGATCGCCCAGCCAATCAAGTAGGTGATTTCGCTGAATGATTAGGGTGCGTCAGATCCTCTGAAACGTGTTTTGGCCGGGTTTTGTCGACCATTTGGTCGTCAATTTCTTTTCGCGAACGACGACGCACTGGTCGAATTTTTGTCGACAAATTACGGATGGGTTCGCAAATCTGACACGTTTGCTGGCCAATTTCTTTTCAAATGTGTCAGATTTGTCGGCCGGATTGTGCGACAGAGTCGCAGATCCAGTAGTTGTGTGACACGTTGCGTCGAACGAGTTGGCAACGTCGCGTAACGACTGTAGCGATCTCAGGTCGACAAAGTGGTCGACTTTCGAGTCGACTGCACGTCGGAACTCTGTCGAATGCTGAACCGGCCATCAAAATTTTTACAAATGGCTGGATTTGGCGAATTTAAAGAAAGTCTTGGCGATTGTCGTAAATATGTTACCTTCGCTAATTCCGGCCGGCCGGATTTTTCCGACAACGGATCTGACGCACCCTTAGGATGTCCATGTAGAAAGACCCAATCTTGAATTCTAATAGAATTGGTGATAAACATATTAAAGCCCGCGTCTCATATTTCACAACTCCCAACCAAGTGTAATACGTTTGAAACCGGGTAACCACTCAAGCACTCGCAACTTTGTTGGGTTTGGTTGGGAGCACTTGCGATTGGCTGCAGCCCCAACAGGCTGGGGAAGGCAGATGCACGACTACCGAACTGCATTCGCGCAAAACACACCACCAAGTGCGACGAAGGCAGAGCACACATGGAACCAAGCGTAATACCACAGCAGAAATAATATGAGACAGTTGAGCAACCACTTTTCATTCCAGCCCTAGACTCTTTCCAACAACTTAGTTTAGCCTAGGGTTTGTTCATGGCTGTTCATTACTATTTTGTACAAATTTCATGCATATCTGCGAGTGTTCGGACGGCTCATCGTAATGGTCGATCATACGGCTATTTCCTGCGCGAAAACCAGGAGGAATAACATAGCAATAGCATATCCGCACGCGCGACGAGGGACGAAGTGGGACGGAAGGAACGATACGGAAAGGGACGCGACGGGACGGGAAGTGACGCGACGGAAGGGGAAGGGACGTGACGATGCGGGAAGAGACGTGACGGGACTGGACGGGACGCGACGGGACTGGACCGGGCGGGACGGGACCCGACGGAACGGGTGGGGACTCGACGGGACAGGACGGGACGAGACGGTCGGGATGGACCGCGACTGGACGAAACGGGACTGGAAGGGACGGGAGGAAAAGGGAGGAGACTCGCCGAAATTGAATGGACGATGCAGGACGGGAAGGGGAGGGGGAGGGAAGGGATGTTGAGCGACGCGCAATTCTAGGTCCCGGGTACATCCGGGAACGGGAAGGGACAGGAAGGGATGAGACGGAAATGAAAGCGCCGGAAAGGTGAGGAAAGGGACGGGAGGAGACGCGCCGATATGAGAAGGGACGGGAGGAGGCGCGGCCGGTGAATGGGTGTGAACGGGTTCTGTGGTGCGGCAGCTGCTGCTGCTGCACATCCACCCCATCCCCCTTCCCTTCCCCCATCCCCCGTCCCTTCCACGTACCCCCCTTCCCACCCCCCATCCCCCTTTCCCTTCCCTTCCCCCATCCTCTCTCCCTTCCCCGCATCCCCCTTCCCTTACCCCATCTCCCTTTCCCTTCCCCCATACCTCTCTCCCTTCTCTGCATCCCCCTTTCCCTCCCCCCGTCCCCTTTCCATTCCGCATCTCCCTCTCCCTTCCCGCATCCCCATTTCCTTCCGCGTCTCCCTTTCCCTTCCCCCATCCCCTTTCCCTTCCCCGCATCCCCTTTCCCTTACCCCATCTCCATCTACCTTCCCCCATTCCTCTCTCCCTTCTCCGCATCCCCCTTTCCCTTCCCCCATCTCAGTTTCCTTCCCCGCAATCTCCCTATCCCTTCCAACCACACCCTTTCCCTTCCCCATCCCCCTTTCCCTTCCCCCATCCCCTTTCCATTCCGCATCTCCCTTTCCCTTCCCCCATCCCCTTTCCCTTCCCCGCATCCCCCTTCCCTTCCCCCAAGCCTCCCTCCCTTCCTCCCTTGACAGGACGCACGGGAAGGAGGAAGGGACAAGTCAAGACATCCCAAACTCCAGTGTGAAACGAAGGGTGCAAGGGCAAATAACGGGCAGAAGTGATGAAGTGGGGGGGCGTTCCATGTGCCTCATGCTCACATCAGGATCACATGGGTTGTGTCAGCCACACTTACGTGCTGGTTCTTTTTCATATGTAAATTCACTAGAAGTAGAAGCCTCTATTCTAGTTTCCCTACCATATCTCGACCAGGGCTCATTTTTGGTTTTGACCAACCCTTACGATCAGTCTAGCACCTGTTCAAAAACCTGATTTTCAGGGTTACCCGTTGTGGAAAACCTGATGCGTCAGGGTTTTTGCATGTATTAAAACGACTACCCTTTCGCTGGTACGCGCTTCAGGGTAAACCTCGATAAGCGGAACGGCAACCCTGAGGCGACAGTGTTCCTTAATCTTAAAACCTGGCACATCAGGGTAAATCAAGGTCCCGAAAAAATTACCCAACAGCATCAGTGTTACTACCAAAAATCACCCTTCTAGTCAGGGCATCAGGGTGATTTACACTGATAACGTGGGCCCTCTCAACCTATAAATGGTTGCAAAATTTGAAACATGCATAAAAAATCACCATACGGTACATGCGTTTGTTAGAATATACTTATATATTCTTTATAACTGTTTGTAGTGTAGACTGTAGTGTATCTCACTTGCTGTAGGTGGTGTACCATGTGGCTTTCTCCTTGCTATATCTTGTACCTTGCTCAATAGTGAACTCATCCTTTCTCCAAACTCCTCGCCATGGTTCTCGTTACTCTCAACTTGCTCGTCCTACTCCTAAGCCGTTCTCCTAGCTACTAAGCAATCTCGACATGCTATCAGAGCTGGTCCTTCCCAGGACCTAATTTTCATGGGCCCACCAGTCGCGCTGCCCGTCATGCAGCGCCCCTGCCCGTCACGCGCCCCGAGCGCATGGTGGTTTCTGCCCGTCGCACGCCCCGGGCGTGTGGCGGTTTTCTGCCCGTCGCACGCCCTGAGCGCGTGGCGGTTTCTGCCCGTCGCACGCCCCGGGCGTGTGGCGGTTTCTGCCCGTCGCACGCCCCGGGCGTGCGTCGGTTTCTGCCCGTCGCGCGCCCCCAGCATGCGACGGTGTTCTGCCCGTCGCTCGCCCCCAGCGTGCGACGGTTTTCTGCTCGTCGCGCGGGGGCCCCGTCGCAGGCAAGCACGCGCACTGCTGCAGCCGCCCGTACGCCGCAGCCTCACCTCCCCGCCGTCGCCTACGCCCTGCTCACCGCCCCGCCGCCCGCTTCCTCATCCCTCTCCTGCTTCGCGTGCAGAAGTTTTGGGGGGAGGGTGTTGGGGGGACGCAGGAGTGGCGGTGGGGGGGTGGTTGCACCTCCAGCGCCCCGCTGCTCTGCTTCGTCACCAAGCCAGCAGGCCCCCCCCTCCGCCTCTACCTTCCCCCTTCTGCTGCTCCTACTGCAGCGGCGGTTTCTGCCCGGCGCCTCGTGCGCCCTGCCCATCCGCGCCCGCCCCACCAGATCGCGCACCTCGCCCCCCCTCCCTTATCTGCCCTCTCCCCACTGCGTGTGCAGCAGTTTGTGGGGAGAGGGAGGTGGTGTAAGGGGGAGGTGGCACCAACGGCACCACCCTGCCTCCTCTGTTTCACGGCCGCACCTGCTGCTGTGGGGGGGAGGGTGGAGTGGTGGGAGTGGTGGGAGTGGCGGGAGGAGCTACTGCCGCTGTCGCTCGCCTTCCCCTCTCTCTCCCTGCTGCGCGTGCAACAGTGGGGGGGTGGGTTTGGGGTGGCGGGTGTGAGCACCCAGCTGCCGCCCCTCCTCCTCTCTCTCTCACTGCCGCACGTGCCGCTGTGGGGGGGAGGGTAATGGGGTGGCGGGCTTCTGGCCGCCGTGTGAAGGCTTGAGCAGGGACCACCGTGGGTGGGGAAGGTGTTGGAGGAAGGGTGGGGGGGAAGGTGTGAGGTTTCAGGGGCCGGTTGACAAGGGGGGTGAGGTTGAGGGGGGTGGCTGAAAGGGGGCGTGGAATTAGGGGGTTAGTAAGAGGGGCTCGCCGCGCTAGGCTCCCCCCCACCTCCTCTCCTCCCTCTCTCACCCTCCCCCCTTTGTAAAACGGGGGTTCGTAAGAGGGGTTCGCCGCGTGGCTCCCCCCACCTCCTCTCCTCATCCCTCTCTCACCCCCCCCCTTTGTAAAACAGGGGTTCGTAAGAGGGGCTCGCCGCGTGGCTCCCCCCACCTCCTCTCCTCATTCCTCTCCTCTCCCCTCTCTCTCTCTCTCGACTCCTCCTCGCATTCCTCTCGGTTGTCTTCCGCTGCGCAGGGTGTACCCCTCCAGGGGGTGTTATGCACATGGCTATTCCTGCATGCAGTTAGGGGGTGTGTCAGAATATATTTATGTATAACTGCATGTAGTTCTAGCTGTAGTGTAGTTCTATTGCTGTCCTGTTAGGTGGTGCACCCTTTGGCTTGCTATAACTTGTAACTCTTCTCATAGTGAATACACATTCTTGTTTCTCCCTTGGTTAACACCCTCGACCTCACCCTTGCTACTCTCGTCCTAGCTAAACCCTAGGCTACTAAGCCTACTAAGTTAAGAACCTATTTCGACATGCTATCAGAGCAGGCTCGTTCCTAGAGCCTTCATTCTTGGGCCCACCGTAAGTTTCCGCTAATGCGCCTCCTTGCTGCCCGTCGCGCGCCCGTGGCGTGCGTCGGTTTTCTGCCCGTCGCGTGCCCGTGGCGCGCGTCGGTTTCTGCCCGTCGCACGCCCCGGGCGTGTGGCGGTTTCTGCCCGTCGCACGCCCCGAGCGCGTGGCGGTTTCTGCCCGTCGCACGCCCCGGGCGTGTGGCGGTTTCTGCCCGTCGCACGCCCCGGGCGTGCGTCGGTTTCTGCCCGTCGCGCGCCCCCAGCACGCGACGGTGTTCTGCCCGTCGCTCGCCCCCAGCGTGCGACGGTTTTCTGCCCGTCGCGCGGGGGCCCCGCTGCCCTGCTTCCCGTCGTCCCCGCCGCCCGCTTCCTCCTCCCTCTCCTGCTTCGCGTGCAGCAGTTTGGGGGGGGGGGGGGGGGGGGGGGGAGGGTGTTGGGGGGACGCAGGAGTGGCGGTGGGGGGTGGTTGCACCTCCAGCGCCCCGCTGCTCTGCTTCGTCACCAAGCCAGCAGCCCCCCCCCCTCCGCCTCTCCTCCCCCCCCCTGCTGCTCCTACTGCAGCGGCGGTTTCTGCCCGGCGCCTCGTGCGCCCTGCCCGCCCGCGCCTGCCCCACCAGATCGCACACCTCGCCCCCCCCCCCTCCCTTCTATTCCCTCTCCCTACTGCGTGTGCAGCAGTTTGGGGGGAGGGGGAGGGGGTGTAAGGGGGAGGTGCTACTGCCGCTGCCGATCGCCTTCCCCTCTCTCTCCCTGCTGCGCGTGCAACAGTGGGGGGGGGGGTGGGTTTGGGGTGGCGGGTGTGAGCACCCAACTGCCGCCGCTCCTCCTCTCTCTCTCACTGCCGCACGTGCCGCTGTAGGGGGGAGGGTGAGGGGGTGGCGGGTTTCTGGCCGCCGTGTGAAGGCTTGAGCAGGGACCACCGTGGGTGGGGAAGGCTTTGAAGGAAGGGTGGGGGGAAGGCGTGAGGTTCCAGGGGGCGGTTGACAAGGGGGGTGAGGTTGAAGGGGGGTGGCTGAAAGGGGGCGTGGAATTAGGGGGTTAGTAAGAGGGGCTCGCCGCGCTAGGCTCCCCCCCACCTCCTCTCCTCCCTCTCTCACCCCCCCCCCCCCCCCCCCCCCCCTTTGTAAAACGGGGGTTCGTAAGAGGGGCTCGCCGCGTGGCTCCCCCCACCTCCTCTCCTCATCCCTCTCTCACCCCCCCTCTTTGTAAAACGGGGGTTCGTAAGAGGGGCTCGCCGCGTGGCTCCCCCCACCTCCTCTCCTCATTCCTCTCCTCTCCCCTCTCTCTCTCTCGTCTCCTCCTCCTCGCATTCCTCTCTGTTGTCTTCCGCTGCGCAGGTTATACCCCTTCAGGGGGTGTTGTGCACAAGGTTCTTCACTACAGGCAGTTAGGGGGTGTGTTAGAATATACTTATATATTCTTTATAACTGTCTGTAGTGTAGACTGTAGTGTATCTCACTTGCTGTAGGTGGTGTACCATGTGGCTTTCTCCTTGCTATATCTTGTACCTTGCTCAATAGTGAACTCATCCTTTCTCCAAACTCCTCGCCATGGTTCTCGTTACTCTCAACTTGCTCGTCCTACTCCTAAGCCGTTCTCCTAGCTACTAAGCAATCTCGACAGCGTTATGCTATTCCTTCACACTACAAGTACGATTTCCACCATGAACTACCTACTATTTACTTTCAACACCACAAACATAACTGACTTATCCCATAACTGTACAAAGAATATCAGGGTCCAAGGCATCGACGACTGCATCACTTGTTGTCGCTTCGTTTTCTTGGGTAGACGCGAGTGCTCTTCCGTGCGACTCTCTCGAACCTTTTGTACTGGCTCTGGTGCATCCCGAGCCTTTGTGCTTGGTTCGCTTCTGGTTTGGTTCTGTTCAGGTTTCGTGTGATTTTTTCTTCCTCGTCAACTTTCATTTCGTGCCTCGCCAGCAAATCACTTGTCTGAGAAGCAAACCAAAGGTAGTACCGTCATCACCCGGATATAAGACAGTGTTGAATAGTAGACAGGGGTTGTCTACTATACGGGTGTCTCTTATAAACAGGCTAGCCTCATTATAAAACACCTATTTGTGTGTACGAGATAAGACATATATGTCTTATAATCGAAACTTCAATAAATTATAGCGAAAGTTGAAATACCGCGTACATTTTTACCCTTGCGAAGCGCGAATTCTTCCACGCGCTGACCCAGGACCTACCAAATTTGCCCCTGCAGGTGTTCTCCATAACGTGGCGTCCCGGGCAGAGGTTGTCGAAGTGGCACCTTCGCAACATCCACACTCATTATGAGAAACTCTTTTTCAAGAAGTACGGAAAATATTTCTAAGTAGTTTAAAAAGTTTCCATTTATAAGACTTACAAGACACCCTAAACCATCCCGTTTACAAGATAACTCAAGCATTTTTGCCCGTGTACGAGATAAGACATATATGTTTTATATCCAGGCGATGACGGTATTACGCTTGGAAATTTGAGACGCGGGTTTAAAAACATGCTATAGTTCCAAAAGCCTATGCTTCACGACTAGTGATAGAAGTTACTGTCTGCAACTACCAGGAGACCACAATTCACACTAACTAACATGAGCACCTGTTACGCCGTACTAATGTCACCATAGGGTTATAGGACCCCTGCTAATACCACTGCATCCCTGTACAGAAAAACATCTCACACAAGATATACGTAGCCAAAAATGGTCCAGTGATTCCAGTTAATTGATACGGTACAGATGCAATATTCACCATAAGGACATTTGACGTACCAGTCCAAGGACTGCAACCGGTTTCATCTGACATTAATATTCAAACCACCACCTATTGAGGATGATTGTTGGGTTGTGATTAATGTTGGGGTCCTGCTGCTCATTTTTTGGGTCGAGAAGAAAAAATCGCCTTCCGGTTAGGCGCTGTGCTTTACTTCGAAGGAGCAGTGAGAAGGAACCACATTGAAGATCCGCTTATCCACTTGAAACACTGAAAAAGGTGGGATAGAGACTTCGGAACACAGTAAGTCAGGCGGCCATGAGAAGTATGGCAAGTTGAGAATGGTGGTTAATCTAACCAGAACAGTCGATAAGCCTATCGCCTCTGAAACAGGAACCGTAAGATGGCGAAAGCCCCTACGGATCTCGCAGTGTCCCAGATGGCGTCTTGTGATTCAATATTGCACATAAGGAGAAGTCGAGAGAGGAGAAGTAAGCTCCTAGCCTCGACAGTGACAAGATGTGCTTATAACGAGGAAAAACGGAAATTTTGCAGTCAAGAAAACGACGTACCAGAATTGGATGTCGCACGCAGTCAGGCGATGGAACGCCACGTCACGGATCAGGCTTGGCCTTAAATCTCCACGTGACGGATGACACGATTTGTCTGATCTTCACATTCGCCTCCGTCAGACAGTTACTTGCGGGCCGATAGCTTCGCGAGTGAAGCGAGTGATTCATCACCGTCAGGGTTTACCAAGGAGATTTTATTTGCAGCTCAAGAAACCGACATTGATGAACATATCTTGTCCACCCGCCATTTCCTTGAAGCTGTCCGAACGCCGAAATATCGACGCCCCACGACATTGGTAAACGGCGAGACATTGGTGCGCATCACCGCTCCAAGCATTTTATTCCCGACACACGGAATCTGTCGTAGCTGATTGCAGAGCAAGGCCAAGTAACCAGAGTTGCTGAACTGATAGTCGATGCTGAGGAGCGGTGAATGTCTCGCCTGCATCTGCCAAGGAGAACAGCTCCGAACGAGAATTCACATTCAGGGTTTTGCATAAAGCTTTATGCTAGTGATGCTGATTAGGCGGTGGAGACGAAAGTTGCAAGGGCGTATTCCGGCTTCGTCCATTTGAGATGGATGCCCTCGTTCGTGGGGAAACGTGGACGCCCAGGGTGGGACGTGTCAGAATCACAAACCTCGTGTCGTGCTCAGAGGGAGCTAGAACCCTGCATTCGACCAGATTCGCTGGCTTCTGTTGCTGCAAATGACACCATCGATACGAAATACCGACTGTGATGTGATGCGATGGCTTCGATTTGGAGTGATGACTGCTGCTCGGCAGAAACACAGCATCCAAAAACAAGGCAACCACGTGTAGAACCCCAACAACACTCTTTTATATTGACTTGTATGCAGTACCCCTAGTCCTGGTGCCAAGCGCTTAGCATTCTTTAAAATGCAGTTGCTAAGTATCATCCTATGTTTCACATCAACAAAGGCCACAAACGATCTTATTCAACACCTTGTGCACACCCGATTGGCCCTGAACATCCAACTTCAACTTTCACCTAGGAGGCGGAATCCCTCCACCACCCACACTGATATCTTCCAGCTCAATCGTCCTGTACTTCTGCGAAACTACCCATGCTGCACTAAAACCCCAACCACATCTGGGTGGCGGAATCCCACCGCCGCCCGCACTGATATCATCCAGCTCGATTGTCCTGTACTTCTGCGAAACCACACATGCTGCTCTAAAACCCCAACCTTATCCTTTACCTGGGAGGCGGAATCCCACCGCCGCCCGCACTGATATCATCCAGCTCAATCGTCCTATACTTCTGCGAAACCAGCTCCGCCTGCACCTTCCTGGCTGTATCCGTAGCGCATCCGACTAAAATGAGGATGGACGTTCCTGCGAACCCCCGGAAGGCCGTGAGGTGTGTGATTCCTTCCACAAGAGCTGGTGCTGCTGCCATCGTGCCGAGAAACGCCGACCCGAGCACCGAAATGCGTGTGAGGACCTGGGGTTGAGTAGGTAGAGAAGCAAGAGGAAGGGGAAGAAAGGGAGAAGGGGATGAGAGAGGGAAGGAAGCGAAAGAGGGAAAGAAAATGTGAGTGGGACAGAGGAGGAGAGAGAGCCAGGAGATGTCATGCGGTGTTTGCGAGGCCAAGTGTTTGGCCAGCTGGTCTTGTTTAAAAAAATACTGATTGAGAGTCGATGTCTTACAAGGGGATTTAGAGGAGGGAGCCCATCTTAGTGATGAGTGAGGTGGTTGCCTTGCACGGACGGCCCTTCCTCTTGAGAGAGTGGGCCATAAGCTGGATTCACAATCTTACAATGAATGAACAAGGGTTACCCACCTTAGTAGTGAGAGCCGCAGTTGCCTTGGCAGGGCGGGTGTTGGGCACGGAGGCGCCCTGCCCCTTGAGCGTGGGATATATGCCCTATTACTACGAATTAAAGAGTCAAGAAGAGCCCACCTTGGTGATCAGTGCGGCTGTTGCCTTGCCAGGGCGGGTGTTGGGCACGGAAGCGCCCTGCCTCTTGAGCTGGTCTTGTCACGGATGATAACTTGAGACTGTGAATCCAAAACAACCCACCTTGGTGATGAGCGCAGCGGTTGCTTTGCCAGGGCGGGTGTTGGGCACAGAGGCGCCCTGCCTCTTGAGCTGGTCGCTGACGTCAGCAGGGTCGAGTTGCAGGAAGGTGTAGAAGTAGTTGAAGAAAGCAATCAGTGCCACGTTGGCGGGGAGATAGAGCAGGCCTAGGGATATGAGGATGGGCACGAGACAGACAGGGAGCAAGAAGGGAGTGAGTGAATTGCAGGAAGGTGTAGAAGTAGTTGAAGAATGCTATGAGTGCCACGTTGGCAGGCAGGTAGAAGAAACCTGGAGGGGAGTGACAGGGTACCGGGTACAGGGTGAGAGGGTACAGGAGATGGTGAGTTGCAGGGGGAAGGTGTAGAAGTAGTTGAAGAATGCAATCAATGCCACATTGGCAGGCAGGTAGAGCAGGCCTGGAAAAGTTTCAAATGATACAACAAGGAGAAAGAAAGGGAAGGGAGTGAGTGAGCGAGTTGCAGGAAGGTGTAGAAGTAGTTGAAGAAGGCGATGAGTACCATGTTGGCAGGCAGGAGAGGAGACCTGGGGTTAAGGGGATACGAGTGACAAGTCACAACAAGGAGCAATAAAGGGAGTGAGTGAGCGAGTTGCAGGAAGGTGTAGAAGTAGTTGAAGAAGGCGATGAGTACCATGTTGGCAGGCAGGAGAGGAGACCTGGGGTTAAGGGGATACGAGTGACAAGTCACAACAAGGAGCAATAAAGGGAGTGAGTGAGCGAGTTGCAGGAAGGTGTAGAAGTAGTTGAAGAAGGCGATGAGTACCATGTTGGCAGGCAGGAGAGGAGACCTGGGGTTAAGGGGATACGAGTGACAAGTCACAACAAGGAGCAATAAAGGGAGTGAGTGAGCGAGTTGCAGGAAGGTGTAGAAGTAGTTGAAGAATGCGATCAGTGCCAAGTCGGGGCAGGCAGGTAGAGGAGACCTGAAGGGGTTGAGTTACATAAACGTGTAGAACAGAATGAAAGAAATCAGTCAGTCAGTTCCACATCGACAAGTAGATTTGCTAGAAAACGTACCTCCTGGGTAGAGCGCTGTAGCAGCAGACTGGAAGGCAGCACTGCCGGTGAAGCGAGCCATGGAGTAGGGAGCAGTCTGGTTACCCTGTTACTGACTTGTGGTTACCACGTAACATACCTCCTGGATAGAGTGCAGTGGCAGCAGATTGAAAAGCAGCACTGCCGGTGAAGCGAGCGATGGAGTAGGGAGCAGCGAGGAGAGAGGAGGAGAAGATGATTGGCATGACTCCCGTTGAGTTGACCTGCAGGGGGGGAGACGGGTGGAGAGAGAATGGGAGAGCAGACAGATTATGGGAGAGGAGGAGAAGATGATTGGCATGACTCCCGTTGAGTTGACCTGGAGGGGGGGAGACGGGTGGAGAGAGAATGGGAGAGCAGACAGATTATGGGAGAGGAGGAGAAGATGATTGGCATGACTCCCGTTGAGTTGACCTGCAGGGGAAAGACAGGATGAGAGTGATGATGTATCAGAGCAAAAGAGGGGTACATGAGAAAGTGAGGGGTGGATAAGACGAGGGGACAGCAGCAGAAACACGAGACAAGAGGAGAAGATGAATGGCATCACTCCCGTTGAGTTGACCTGTGACAGGTGGGAGGGGCGGATGACAGAAAGGGTTGATGAGTGAGGGTTGATGAGCAGGGTAGATGATAGATAATGGGACAGCAGACAGATGGGGAGAGAGGAGAAAACGATGGGCATTTCTTCTGTTGAGTTGAGCGCGGGGGCGGGGAGGGGGAGGGGGAGTGAGTGAGGGGTTAATGCAAGAGAAAGAAGGAGGTGTTACCTTCCAGCGGGATGCGTTACCTTCAAGGGGGAGGTGTTACCTCCGAGGGGGAGGTGTTACCTTCGAGGGGGAGGTGTTACCTTCAAGGGGGAGGTGTTACCTTCAAGGGGGAGGTGCTACCTTCGAGGGGGAGGTGTTACCTTCGAGAAGAAGGTGTTAACTTAAAGGGGAGGTGTTACCATTGAGGGGGAGGTGTAACCTTCAGGGGGGAGGTGTTATCAGTGGAAGCATTACCTTCGAGGGGGAGGTGTTACCTGTTGCCTTTTAGGGGGAGGTGTTACCTGTTACCTTCCAGGGGGAGGCGTTACCTTGACTGGCAGGTACGCATTCCACGTCTTGATGTTGTATGCATCTCAACACTCACCTTCATGGGGGAGGTGTTACTCTTAAGGGGGAGGCGTTACCTTGTTACCTTTCAGGGGGAGGCGTTACCTTGAATGGCAGGTACGCATTCCGCGTCTTAATGTTGTACCGAGACGCGTAGTTGATGGGGATGCGCCTCTCTGCCTCCTGCTCACAGGGAATGGGGTAGTTGAGGTGGTGGTGGTGGTGCAGGGAGTGGAAGGGAAAGGGTGGGAAGGGTAAGGGGGAGTTTGGGGTTGGTTGTACCGGAAGGTAGGCAGGCAGGGTGGCAGGAGGGCACAAAGGCAGGATGTCAGGAGGACAGGAGGGCAGGCGGGCAGGAGGTCAGGCAGGCAGGCAGGCGGGCAGACAGGCGGGCAGGCAGAGAGACCACAGCACAGCCACCCACCTGGACGTAGACAATGCCGAAGACGAGCAGCCGCAAGGAGGGGAGCAGGCACGAAGGCAGGCAGGTTGGCTAGCAGGCAGGATAAGGCAGGCCGAGAGAAAACAGCACAGCCACCCACCTGGACGTAGAAAATGCCGAAGACAAGCAGCCTCAAGGCAGGCAGGCAGGCAGGCAGGCAGGCAGGCAGGCAGGCAGGCAGGCAGAGAGGCAGAGAGGCAGAGAGGCAGGGAACAAAACCCACCTGGACGTAGACGATGCCAAAAACGAGCAGCAGGAAGGAGGCCAGAAGCAGCGCCTCGCCGGTAACGTTCCCCTGTTCAGACGCCTCTGTGATGGTCCTTCCAATGGACGCGGGCAGGTAGGAAACGATATTCGTGAAGATGAGCAGCGATGTGCCGTTGCCGAGCTTGAGGTCGGTGATCTTGTCTCCCAGAAGAATGACTGCCACGGATCCGAGGGTGAGGCCCGAGACGGCGGAGACTGCCCAGGTGGCTGAGGGGTCGTAGGCGTACTGCTGCAGGTATGCTACCTGCCCGATAGCCTGGGGCAGAAAGAGGGATTTAAACAGGGAACAACGGGGAAAGCAGCACAGAGAGGGAGTGAGGGACAGAGCATCGATGTCCCGATGCCGAGGGAGTGAGGGACAGAGTAGCAATGTCCCGTTGCCCAGCTTGAGGTCGGTGATCTTGTCGCCCAGGAGGATGACTGCCACGGAGCCGAGGGTGAGACCCGAGACGGCTGAGACTGCCCAGGCGACTGAGGGGTCGTAGGCGTACTGCTGCAGGTAGGCCACCTGTCCAATGGCCTGGAAAGGAGATAATGGGGAGATTCAGACAGGGAAAGGAGGGAGCCGAGGGTGAGGCCCGAGACGGCTGAGACTGCCCACGTGACCGACGGGTCGTAGGCGTACTGCTGCAGGTAGGCCACCTGTCCAATGGCCTGGAAGGGGGGAGAGAGGGAAGAGGTGGGTGATCTTGTCCCCGATAAGGATGACTGCATCGAGTTGTCTCATATCGAATCAACATACCTGCAGAGCGCCAAAAGCGACAGCCATGTACTTCATATACTGCTGCGCCTTCTTCATCCCCGCCTCCCCCACTTTCTTCTGCAGATTCCCAATCTTGGGATAAAGCGTCCCCAGCAACATTACAGCGGATAGCATTACATACATACCTGCAGAGCACCGAAGGCGACAGCCATGTACTTCATACACTGCTGCGCCTTCTTCCTCCCCGCCTCCTTCTCTTTCCCCTCCTCCTGCTAATTACCTACCTAGCAGCGAGCTGTCTTATATCGAATCAACATACCTGCAGAGCACCGAATGCCACAGCCATGTATTTCATATACTGCTGCGCCTTCTTTACCCTTCCCCTCCTCCTGCATACTGAACTGAATCAACGATACATACCTGCAGGGCACCGAATGCCACAGCCATATATTTCATATACTGCTGCGCCTTCTTCCTCCCCGCCTCTCCTTCCTTCTTCTGCAGATCCGCAATCTTCGGATACAGCGTCCCCAGCAGCTGGAACACGATCTGAGCGTTGATATACGGCACAATGCCCAGCGAAAACAATCCCAGCCGTCCGATCCCGCCCCCTGAGAGGGTGTCTAGGGTGGCTAGGAATGAGCCCTCCCCCAGTTGCTCCTGGAAGGCGCTGATATCGACGCCCCACAGGGGAATGTAGATGCCCACGCGGGATAGGGCAAGCAGACCCAGGAGCATGAGGAATTTCTTGGGTAAATCGCCCTTGAAAAAGTCGCCAAAGTCGATCTTGCTGTCTTCGACTGGAAAAGGGGGGGAGGAGATGGACAGACGTAGAAGAGGAGAGGAGGGAGGGGGGAACCGATGAGGGAGGGACGGTGGCATTAGAGGAGTTCCAAGGTATGACATTGGCTGAACTGAACTTCAGTGATCATAACTCCTACAACTATTATATTATGCTCATAAAAGGAGATGAATGACCCAATACGCGGCTGATTGAACCCTAGACGATGACCCTTAACGCCAGCCTCTTCTGGGCCAAAGCATGCACCCACCTGCTGCAGCAAAACCAGACGACTTTTGCTGCTGCGTTGCCTGAGCTACTGTGGACAAACGATCTAGAAAGCATGACCCTGCACGCCAGACTCGTCCCAGCCAACGCATGCACCTGCCTAGTCTACATGGCTGACCATGCACCCACCTGCTGCAGCAGAGCCGGATGATTTCTGCTGCTGCGTTGCCTGGGCTACTGTTGACAAACGCTTGCTGCTGCTGCTGCTGCTGCCATTGGTAAGATCCATGCTTCCTGCAAGAGGCGATATGGGCGAGCTCAATGGCCCGCCCTCTCCGGCATTGCCTCCCTGCAGCATTGTAAAATGGAAAGGAAAAATGGAAAGGGGGAGTGGGGAGAGGGTGGGAGCAGGGGAGAGGGTGGGGTAGAATGAACGGGTGCAGGTGGGGTTGGAAAGGGTTTGGGGCATTTGAGACTGGTCCCAAAAAGGGGAAGAGGGGTCATCACCTGACCTGAATAGCTCATAATGGGAACAGAGATAACCGAAAAAGGTTTGCTTGACGGTTTCTCGCCTGCCAAATTCTACTCCTACCTAACCCTGCATGCGCACTCCTTCCTTGGTGAGTTTCTTTTTCTATTTGACCGAAAACATTTGGCAAGTTTGTTTTGTTTGTTTGTTGTTGTTGTTGTTGTTTTTTTTTTTTTCTCTCTCTCTCTCTCTCTCTCTCTCTCTCTCTCTCCAGAAAATCCCACTGAGCACAAAGGCGTGGTGTGTGTGGTAAGGGGAAGGATCGGCTAGAAAATCACTGATGGCACGGGCGTGATGTATGTGCATGCGTGCGTGCGTGCGTGCGTTCGTGCGTGTATACGTGCGTGCGTGCATGTGTGCGTGTCTGTGGTAAGAAGCAGCACGCGTTCTGACCTGAGCCGCAACTGGTCTCGGAAATGAGAGGCGGTGAAGGGAAGGGGATCGGTGTGTGTGTGGTAACGAGCACGCGTTCTGACCTGAGCCGCCACTGGTCTCGGAAATGAGAGGAGGCGAGGGGAAGGGGAGCGGGCTGCTAGCCTGCTGGGGAGATGCGGAAGATGGTCCTTGGCGAATGCTGCGAGGAGGGACCAGGAGGGGAGAATTGGGGGGAAGGGGAGGGGTGGAGGGGGAGGATTGGATCGGGCTGCTAGCCTGCTGGGGAGATGCGCGAGATGCTCCTTGGCGAATGCTGCGAGGAGGGACGGGGAGCGGAGGGGGGAATGGGGGGGCGGGGGGAGCCGGGGAGGGGAAGGATTGGATCGGGCTGCTAGTCTGCTGGGGAGCTGCGGGAGATGCTCCTTGGCGAATGCTGCAGGGGAAGAAGGAAGGGAGGGCGATTCGGAGGTGCGGGATGGAGAGGGTAAGTTGCAGGGATAGCGAGGTGCGTGAATGCGTGGGAGATATGGAAGCGACATGCACCTGAAAGAATGCAGCGTGTTAAATGAGGAGAGCGGAAAGAGATTTGAGACGTTCAATATGTGATTGAGGGAATGGGTTTGGGAAACAGGATGGGAGGGGATGGGGGAACGGGGATCACGAGGAGAAAGAGGCATTGCCAGCGCAAGTACGAGAGCGGCGATACAGTAGCGGAGACGGGAACAGGAGTCTGTCGCTTAGGGAGAAACAGGAACTGCTTCCTGAGTGGTAACAAATACGAAAGCTAATTCGGTTACGACATTGGTTACACGAACCGAGAAGTACGTAGCGATGGTTACAAGATTGATATTGTGTCAATGAGTCCCCATCAAGGATCTAAACGCTGACTAACGACATATGGCCAGAATAGGGATGCGGTAAAGAGGAGGATATGGACAAAATACGCACTTGCGGTTCGAGGCCCAGCCAGCGTGGCTGGTGATGTGAGGAGGGACGCCATTGTCTAAAGCCACTCGTCAGGCTCAGTCTCCCTTGGGATATTTACGCGAGGCTTTGGTTTACCCCGCAAAATTCTGCGAATAGAAGCAAAAGCACGAAGTTTCGCAAGCTCCGTACGGAAGTACCAGAGGAGCTATGCCAACAGGGAGAGGACCTGAAAATGGCGGACTCGCTCGCTCCTAAAGCGTAAGTGCTTTAGTTGTCAGCCTGCCTTGGTGGAGGATTATAAGTTCGAGAAATCAGAGGATAAGGCTCGCGAAATCTAATGAAATGTGACAGACACCAGAAGCGTCGTTAAAATCAAGTTACCAGATGTCGTTGTGCCTTCAACACGTCGTTGAAGTTGCGCGAACTCATTTCATCCTTGTCGAGGATTGCACGACGCGTGGCCCAATAGGAGAGGGCGGATGATGGAGGATCACTGAGATTCTCGATAGTAGCTCAAATTCTTTTTCCTGCAATGTTATCACATTGCATAGTTTGTGAATTGAATACTGACAAAATTTAGCGCAAATATTTATTTTCTGATAATGCTTCCGTTTTCCTTGAAACCGGGCCTCTACATCTAGCCAAGAAAGCCATCACACATAATTGTTGTGTAAAATCCATTGCTCCAACCTGCAACGCGGATGATGCATCGGTTTGAGAGCAGCACATATCCTTGACCTCACCTCTGTGTGCATATATTTTCCTCAATACTTGGAAGAAATTTCTGTCTGCCCCAGGAGTTGATGTGGGAGATCTGTAGCAAAACTGGGAAGAATCTGAAGGACCTAAAAGACACTCAAACTACCGCAACTCCCCCCAGATTTGTGCTCCTTTCCATCCCAACCAGGAAAAATGCCCGACTTCACACCCATGACTCCGACAGGGGTCCTTCTGGGGTCACGCAACGGTAGTGCTGAACTCACCCTGGAAATTCAGAAACACATGTTTTTTCGTTCGAACTCGCGACGCCTCTGCGGCGGGTCGAGGCTTCGGATCCTAGTTAGGACGCGGAAAAAGTGCAAATATCGCAGGATCGTCTGCATATATCGAGCCCCACAATCGAGTGGGCGGCTCGATTCGCGAAACGTGGCGATCGCGACGTTGTAACGATGGCACCTGAGTTTTGGGGTGATCTCCCGCAATCAACAATCAGTCGCCTCCCCTCGCTGTGCAAGGTTTTCGGCAAAAAAACGCACTGTAGTATGGTTACAGAGCAGTAAACAAGGTAACCGATCCGCACATCGATCGCAACCGAGGATCGTTCGTCTACTCTAACCGCGTCCTTAGTTCCTTGCCTCATCTCTCCCTCGGTGATTTACGTGGCAGAGCGATAAACTGCTATTCTAAATCGGTTGGATACAATTCAGTGAGTTTCTGTAGCACAAGCCGAAAGCTGAACTGCTTTCAGGACCTGCTTCCCTTGAAATTGCGTGGAGTCCACCTCACAGGCACAACCAACTCTGGACCCTGACAGTTGGTCTCGTTCGTTCCTCAGAATACTTCCTAGGGTTGTGACTTTCTCAGGAGCTGCCGCTCAGGTCAGCTCGGTGTAAATATAGTGCTGCGATCTCTGCTACCCTGTTGTAGACTAAACCTAGCCGTAAGTACCGCGAACGCGTGCCGTGAGCCTAGCAACGCGACAAACCCCCAGCTGGTAATACCAGAATCGAATCCGATCATGACTTCGACGGGCACTCTGTGCAACCTCGCGGGACCAGAAGGGCGAAAGAAGCGCGTGGCGTATTTCTACGATCCGGACGTGGGGAATTACTATTACGGCCAGGGCCATCCCATGAAGCCGCACCGCATCCGGATGACCCACAGCCTGCTCATGCACTACGGCCTGCACACCAAGCTCGAGATCTTCAAGCCGTTTCCCGCTCGCGATAAGGACATGTGCAGGTGAGTGCAGCGAGTGTGCTTATAACGGGTTTGTTTTTTTCTGGTTTCGGATGACCCACAGCCTGCTGATGCACTACGGCCTGCACACGAAACTCGAGATCTTCAAGCCGTTTCCCGCGCGCGATAAGGATATGTGCAGGTGAGTGCAGCGAGTGTGCTTATAAGAGGTTTGATTTTCTGGACCGGGATGTCCCACAGCCTGCTCATGCACTACCGCCTGCACACCAAGCTCGAGATCTTCAAGCCGTTTCCCGCGCGCGGCGATAATGACATGTGCATGGTGAGGCGGATTGCTGTCCAAGTGGGGTTGTTTTCAATTTCGAATGACTAGCAGCCTGCTGATGCGCTACGGCTTGCATACCAAGCTTGAGGTTTTCAAACCGTTTCTCGCTCGCAATAAGGATATGTGCAGGTGAGGCTTAAAACGAAGTTGTTTCTGTGCAGGTAAGGTAACGAGGTTATGACTGGATCCGGGCCGCTGAACCCCTCCTCCGTCCCTTTACCCCCACAAACCCCCACCCGCCTTCCCCTTTTTTCCCCCTTTTGGTCTTCTATGTCCCTCCCTCCACACGGTGACCCCAGAGAACCAGCACGAGCAGTTGCAAATGCTCTCCTTGAACGATCCCCATCCCCACTCTCCCACTACCTACCTACCCTCCACACCACCAGGTTCCACTCGGACGACTATGTGGAGTTTCTCCGCACAGTGACTCCCGAGAACCAGCACGAGCAGCTGCGGATGCTCAACCGCTTCTCCCATTCCCATTTCTCTCCCTAATCTATCCCACCAGGTTCCATTCAGGCGACTATGTGGAGTTTCTCCGCACAGTCACTCCCGAGAATCAGCACGAGCAGCTGCGAATGCTCAAGCGCTTCAACGTGGGGGAGGACTGCCCGGTCTTCCTTCCACGGGCTCTACCAGTTGTGCTAATCCTGCCGCTCTCGCTCCCCTGGCCTGCTGAATCCTTCCCTCGTCCCTTGACCCCCACAAACCTCCCCTCGCCACCCGTTCCCCCTCTCTTCAGTCTTTCCACCCCATCCTTCCCTCCCTTCCTCCTGCCAGGTTCCATTCAGACGATTATGTGGAGTTCCTCCGAACTGTCACTCTGGAGAACCAGCACGAGCAGCTGCGGATGCTCAAGCGCTTCAACGATCCTCGTTCCCACTCTCTCACTCCTCCTTCCCACCTGCCAGGTTGCACTCAGGCGACTATGTGGAGTTTGTCCGCACAGTGACTCCTGAGAATCAGCACGAGCAGCTGCGAATGCTCAAGCGCTTCAACGTGGGGGAGGACTGCCCGGTCTTCGACGGGCTGTACCAAGCCAATCCTGCCTTTGCACCTCTCCCTCCCTTTTGCCAGGTTCCACTCAGACGATTACGTCGAATTCCTCCGCACAGTGACTCCTGAGAATCAGCACGAGCAGCTGCGAATGCTCAAGCGCTTCTCCCATTCCCATTCTCTTCCTTCTCCCTCCCATGGTCCCACCAGGTTCCACTCAGACGATTACGTCGAATTCCTCCGCACAGTGACTCCTGAGAACCAGCACGAGCAGCTGCGAATGCTCAAGCGCTTCAACGTGGGGGAGGACTGCCCCATCTTTGACGGGCTCTACCAGTTCTGCTGCAGGCTGACCCACTCTCGCTCCCCCATCCCTTTACCCCCACACACCCCCACCCGTCAAGCGCTTCAACGTGGGGGAGGACTGCCCCGTCTTTGACGGGCTCTACCAGTTCTGCTGCAGGCTCTGCCACAGCCCATCATTCTCCTTCTCTCGCTCCCCCAGCCGTCCCGCTGAACCCCTCCCTCGTCCCTTTACCCCCTCAAACCCCCACCCGCCTTCCCCTTCCCGCCTTCCTCCACCCGTCCCTCCCTCCTGCCAGGTTCCATTCAGATGATTATGTGGAGTTTCTCCGAACTGTCACTCCTGAGAACCAGCACGAGCAGCTGCGAATGCTCAAGCGCTTCAACGTGGGGGAGGACTGCCCGGTCTTTGACGGGCTTTACCAGTTCTGCCAAACCTACACCGGAGGCTCGGTGGGAGGTGCGGTGAAGCTGAACCACGGGCACTCGGACATTGCGATCAACTGGGCGGGCGGGTTGCACCATGCCAAGAAGTGTGAAGCATCGGGGTTCTGCTACGTGAACGACATTGTCCTTGCCATCCTGGAGCTGCTCAAGTACCATGCGGTGAGTCTACCTCTTCTGGAGGTGTACAGCACTCCCCTACCCCCCCTGTATCTCTTCTGCTACGTGAACGACATTGTCCTTGCCATCCTGGAGCTGCTCAAGTACCATGCGGTGAGCCTCTTGAACATTGCCACCAAGTGTGGGCTGGGCGGGCGGAGGAATGCATCATGCGAAAAAATGCGAGGCGTCGGGGTTCTGCTACGTGAACGGCATCGTGCTCGCCATCCTGGAGCTGCTGAATCAAATACCACGCGGTGAGTCTCCCACCTTTCTCTCTCTCTCTCTCTCTCTTTCACACCACCATGCTGCAATTCCCCTCTCTTGAAATCGCGATCAGTCCAAACCAACCGACCTGAACAGAGCTGAACCACAGGCACTCGGACATTACGATTAACCTCGCTGGGGGAGCAGCATCACTGCAAGTTCCCACTTTTGAAGTCACCATCAGCCCAAACCTAGCTGAACGGAGCTGAACCACAGGCACTCGGACATTGCGATTAACTGGGCGGGTGGGTTGCACCATGCCAAGAAGTGCGAGGCGTCAGGGTTCTGCTACGTGAACGGCATCGTGCTCGCAATCCTGGAGCTGCTGAAACACCATGCGGTGAGTCGTCTCTCTTGAAAGCGTGACTTGTCCATCCAAACCGAGCTGAACCACGGGCACTCGGAATGCTGCGAATGCTCAAGCAGTGAAGCTGAACCTCGGGCACTCGGACATTGCGATCAACTGGGCGGGCGGGCTGCATCATGCCAAGAAGTGCGAGGCATTGGGGGTCTGTGATCCCGGAGTTGCTGTGATCGGATCGGGGGTCGGGTTACATCGACATTGACATTGCAGGTAGAGAGACGACTTTTGAGGCGCCTCAAAAGGCATTGGGGGGGGTCTGTGATCCTGGAGCTGCTGTGATCCTGGAGCTGCTGATCCTGGAGCTGCTGTGATCCTGGAGCTGCTGTGATCCTGGAGCTGCTGTGATCCTGGAGCTGCTGTGATCCTGGAGCTGCTGTGATCCTGGAGCTGCTGTGATCCTGGAGCTGCTGTGATCCTGGAGCTGCTGTGATCTGATCGGGGGTCGGGTTACATCGACATTGACATCCACCACGGTGGTGACAGCGTGGAGGAGGGAGGCCGTTTCTCTCACACCTTCCAGTTCCTTTCCCCCTCTTCCTTCCTCTCCTCCCTCACTCCCTCTTCCCTCCTCCAACCAGCGTGTTACATCGACATTGACATCCACCACGGCGACGGCATGAGTGGAGGAGGAGGCGTCTCTTCATGTTGCAGGGTGAACCGGCCAGGGAACGGGAGTGTGTGTGTGGGCCTCAACTCAAAAACACCCCGCAACATCACGGCGACGGCGTGGAGGAGGAGGAGGCGTTTCTTCTCTGGTCTGAGCCTGCTTCTTTCCTTCCCCGCCCTCCCCCCCGCCTCTTCCCCGCCCCCTCCCCCCAGCGTGTGCTGTACATCGACATTGACATTCACCACGGGGACGGCGTGGAGGAGGAGGCGTTTCTTCTCTGGTCTGGGCCTGCTTCTTTCCTCCCCCATCCTCCCTTCTGCCCCCTTCCCTCCCCCCTCCCCCCAACGAGTGCTATACATCGACATTGACACCCACCACGGGGACGGCGTGGAGGAGGAGGCGTTCTGTCTCATGCCGACTCCCCCCCGTGTTGCTCTCCCCGTACTCCTCTCGTCCCCCCAGCGAGTGCTCTACATCGACATTGACATCCACCACGGCGACGGCGTGGAGGAGGCGTTTTACACGACGGACCGAGTGATGACAGTCTCCTTCCACAAGTTTGGCGACTACTTTCCCGGCACAGGTGAGGGATCGTTTGAAGGCACAGGTAGGGGGATTACTTTCCAGGCACAGATGGGTTTAGGTTGACTAGAGAGTCACGACGGACCGAGTCATGACCGTGTCCTTTCACAAGTTTGGCGACTACCTCCCCAGCACAGGTGGGAATGGGTGTTGAGCCTCTTCTAGGCACAGTGGGTTCTGAGTCCATGCATAAGTCCCAACTGTCGGACCGGGTGATGACAGTCTCCTTCCACAAGTTTGGCGACTACTTCCCAGGCACAGGTAGGTTTGGGTGCATCTGAGTAAGCTTAAGCGACTGAAACTCAATCACTGAAGGGAGACGGAGTGGAGGAGGCGTTTTACACGACGGACCGAGTCATGACCGTGTCCTTCCACAAGTTTGGGGATTATTTCCCCGACACAGGTAAAAACGGCTCCAACAATCCCTAGGAGTTTTGAATAAACTCAGTCACTCAGGGCACAGGTGGGAGGGTGTTGAGTCGACTCAGAAGTCCCAATTTACTTTGGGGGCACGGTTACGGCCGTGGCAAGCTACAGTGCCTCTCCTAGTGGAGCGAGTGGAGCCTGCCTCTCTTAGTGTGACAGACAGGGGCAAGCAAGCACTACCCTTCTTTTACCCTCCACTTCTCCCCCTCATTGCCAGGCGATCTGAGGGACACGGGGTACGGGCGTGGCAAGCACTACTCCCTCGACGTGCCTCTGCACGACGGCATCGACGACGACAGCTACCTCTCGCCCTTCAAGCCCCTCATCTCCAAAGCCCTCCCATACCGCACACCACCGCTCTTAACCTCCTGAACCCAACCACGGCATCGACGACGACAGCTACCTCTCGCTCTTCAAGCCGCTCATCTCCAAACTCATGGACGTCTTTCAGCCCGGCGCCGTCGTGCTGCAGTGCGCCGCGCAGCGCGGTGCAGTGCGGTGGAGCTCGGTGCTCTGTCCCTCCCAATTCACCTTGTTTCCTTCGTGCCTGCTTCCCGCGGCGCCTGCTCCCATACTCCAGGCGACCTAAGGGACACGGGGTACGGCCGCGGCAAGCACTACTCGCTGAACGTGCCTCTCCACGACGGCATCGACGACGACAGCTACCTCTCGCTCTTCAAGCCGCTCATCTCCTCTGATGCAACACTCCTGTCCGTTCGTCTGTCTGTCTGTATCCAGGCGATCTGAGGGATACTGGTTATGGCTGTGGCAAGCACTACTCGTTGAACGTGACTCTGCACGACGGCATCGACGACGACTGCTACATCTCGCTCTTCAAGCGATTCACTTTGTTTCCTTCCTGTCCGCTTGCTCCCTCCCACACCCAGGCGACCTAAGGGACACGGGGTACGGCCGCGGCAAGCACTACTCGTTGAACGTGACTCTGCACGACGGCATTGACGACGACAGCTACCTCTCGCTCTTCAAGCGATTCACTTTGTTTCCTTCCTGTCTGCTTGCTGTCTCCCCCACACCCCAGGCGACTTAAGGGACACGGGGTACGGGCGGGGGAAGCACTACTCCCTCAACGTGCCTCTCCACGACGGCATTGACGACGACAGCTACCTCTCGCTCTTCAAGCGATTCACTTTGTTTCCTTCCTGTCTGCTTGCTGTCTCCCCCACACCCCAGGCGACTTAAGGGACACGGGGTACGGGCGGGGGAAGCACTACTCCCTCAACGTGCCTCTCCACGACGGCATTGACGACGACAGCTACCTCTCGCTCTTCAAGCGATTCACTTTGTTTCCTTCCTGTCTGCTTGCTGTCTCCCCCACACCCCAGGCGACTTAAGGGACACGGGGTACGGGCGGGGGAAGCACTACTCCCTCAACGTGCCTCTCCACGACGGCATTGACGACGACAGCTACCTCTCGCTCTTCAAGCGATTCACTTTGTTTCCTTCCTGTCTGCTTGCTGTCTCCCCCACACCCCAGGCGACTTAAGGGACACGGGGTACGGGCGGGGGAAGCACTACTCCCTCAACGTGCCTCTCCACGACGGCATTGACGACGACAGCTACCTCTCGCTCTTCAAGCGATTCACTTTGTTTCCTTCCTGTCTGCTTGCTGTCTCCCCCACACCCCAGGCGACTTAAGGGACACGGGGTACGGGCGGGGGAAGCACTACTCCCTCAACGTGCCTCTCCACGACGGCATTGACGACGACAGCTACCTCTCGCTCTTCAAGCGATTCACTTTGTTTCCTTCCTGTCTGCTTGCTGTCTCCCCCACACCCCAGGCGACTTAAGGGACACGGGGTACGGGCGGGGGAAGCACTACTCCCTCAACGTGCCTCTCCACGACGGCATTGACGACGACAGCTACCTCTCGCTCTTCAAGCGATTCACTTTGTTTCCTTCCTGTCTGCTTGCTGTCTCCCCCACACCCCAGGCGACTTAAGGGACACGGGGTACGGGCGGGGGAAGCACTACTCCCTCAACGTGCCTCTCCACGACGGCATTGACGACGACAGCTACCTCTCGCTCTTCAAGCGATTCACTTTGTTTCCTTCCTGTCTGCTTGCTGTCTCCCCCACACCCCAGGCGACTTAAGGGACACGGGGTACGGGCGGGGGAAGCACTACTCCCTCAACGTGCCTCTCCACGACGGCATTGACGACGACAGCTACCTCTCGCTCTTCAAGCGATTCACTTTGTTTCCTTCCTGTCTGCTTGCTGTCTCCCCCACACCCCAGGCGACTTAAGGGACACGGGGTACGGGCGGGGGAAGCACTACTCCCTCAACGTGCCTCTCCACGACGGCATTGACGACGACAGCTACCTCTCGCTCTTCAAGCGATTCACTTTGTTTCCTTCCTGTCTGCTTGCTGTCTCCCCCACACCCCAGGCGACTTAAGGGACACGGGGTACGGGCGGGGGAAGCACTACTCCCTCAACGTGCCTCTCCACGACGGCATTGACGACGACAGCTACCTCTCGCTCTTCAAGCGATTCACTTTGTTTCCTTCCTGTCTGCTTGCTGTCTCCCCCACACCCCAGGCGACTTAAGGGACACGGGGTATGGGCGCGGCAAGCACTACTCGCTGAACGTGCCTCTCCACGACGGCATCGACGACGACAGCTACCTCTCGCTCTTCAAGCCCCTCATCACAAAGGTCATGGATGTGTTTCAACCGGGCGCCGTCGTGCTGCAGTGCGGAGCGGACTCGCTATCGGGAGACCGGCTGGGGTGCTTCAACCTGTCGGTGCGGGGCCACTCGGAGTGTGTGCGGTTTATGAGATCTTTCAACGTGCCCCTGCTGCTGCTGGGGGGGGGAGGGTACACCATCCGTAACGTTGCCCGCTGCTGGTGCTACGAGGTAAGGCAAACCCGGGGGTGGAGGGAGGGACCGACTGGGGTGCTTCAATCAACCTGTCGGTGCGGGGGCACTCGGAGTGTGTGCGCTTCTTGCTCTCTTCCAACGTGCCACTGCTGCTGCTGGGCGGAGGGGGCTACACCATCCGCAACGTTGCTCGCTGCTGGTGCTACGAGGTAAGTCGAGCCGGTGGGGTTGGAGCTGGAGGATCGAATGCCTTTCAGCGACTACTACGAGTATTTCGGCCCGGACTACACGCTGCATATCACACCACAACCTCGCACCCCCTCTTCCATCCCACGCCCTCCTTCCTCCTCTCTCCTTTCCTCCCCGTCCGCCCAAGCAGACGGGAGTAGCGGTGGGGTTGGAGCTAGAAGACCGAATGCCTTTCAACGACTACTATGAGTATTTCGGCCCAGATTACACACTGCATATCACACCCAGCAACATGGAGAACCAGAACTCGAGGGCATATCTAGACTCAGTCCGGTGAGTCCTGTGTGTAGGCATGTGTGCATGCATGCATCTGTGCCAGTTTGTTTGGTTGAAGTTTGGACTACACGCTGCACATCACGCCTAGCAACATGGAGAACCAGAACTCGAGGGCGTAGACTCTGTGCGGTGAGTCGTGTGTGTCCTGTATCTAGACTCTGTGCGGTGAGTCGTGTGTGTCCTGTATCTAGACTCTGTGCGGTGAGTCGTGTGTGTCCTGTATCTAGACTCTGTGCGGTGAGTCGTGTGTGTCCTGTATCTAGACTCTGTGCGGTGAGTCGTGTGTGTCCTGTATCTAGACTCTGTGCGGTGAGTCGTGTGTGTCCTGTATCTAGACTCTGTGCGGTGAGTCGTGTGTGTCCTGTATCTAGACTCTGTGCGGTGAGTCGTGTGTGTCCTGTATCTAGACTCTGTGCGGTGAGTCGTGTGTGTCCTGTATCTAGACTCTGTGCGGTGAGTCGTGTGTCCTGTTGCTGGTTCATGCATGCACGGTGGTAGTCGCACACACTTCCCCACCACATCACACCCAGCAACATGGAGAACCAGAACTCGAGGGCGTATTTAGACTCTGTGCGGTGAGTCGTGTGCCCTGTTGCTGGTTCATGCATGCACGGTGGTAGTAGCACACTCTTCCCCACCACATCACGCCTAGCAACATGGAGAACCAGAACTCGAGGGCGTATTTAGACTCTGTGCGGTGAGTCGTGTGCCCTGTTGCTGGTTCATGCATGCACGGTGGTAGTAGCACACTCTTCCCCACCACATCACGCCTAGCAACATGGAGAACCAGAACTCGAGGGCGTATTTAGACTCTGTGCGGTGAGTCGTGTGCCCTGTTGCTGGTTCATGCATGCACGGTGGTAGTCGCACACTCTTCACCACCACATCACGCCTAGCAACATGGAGAACCAGAACTCGAGGGCGTATTTAGACTCTGTGCGGTGAGTCGTGTGCCCTGGTTCTGGTTCATGCATGCACGGTGGTAGTCGCACACACTTCCCCACCACATCACACCCAGCAACATGGAGAACCAGAACTCGAGGGCGTATTTAGACTCTGTGCGGTGAGTCGTGTGCCCTGGTTCTGGTTCATGCATGCACGGTGGTAGTCGCACACTCTACACCCTCCACATCACACCCAGCAACATGGAGAACCAGAACTCGAGGGCGTATTTAGACTCTGTGCGGTGAGTCGTGTGCCCTGTTGCTGGTTCATGCATGCATGGTGGTAGTAGCACACACTTCACCACCACATCACACCCAGCAACATGGAGAATCAGACCTCGAGGGCGTATTTAGACTCAGTGCGGTGAGTCGTGTGCCCTGTTGCTGGTTCATGCATGCACGGTGGTAGTCGCACACTCTTCCCCGCCACATCACGCCCAGCAACATGGAGAACCAGAACTCGAGGGCGTATTTAGACTCAGTGCGGTGAGTCTAAGAGTGTGAAAGTGTGTGTGCGTGTGTGTGGGTGGGTGGGTGGGTGGGTGGGTGGGTGGGTGGCTGGGTGGCTGGGTGGGTGGGTGGGTGGGTGGGTGGGTGGGTGGGTTCGAGGACAGCATTGTCCTTTCCTCATTCCGATTGCCATCACCTCTCCCTCTCTCGAGTCGGCATTCGCCTTCTGGCGAATCTATCCAACCTGCAGCATTGTCTTCTCCCCCTCAGCGTTGTCTTCTCCCCCTCAGCATTGTCTTCGCCCCCTCAGCATTGTCTTTTCCCCATACCCATTCCCACTCCCATTCTTATTCCCATCCCATCGCAATTGCCATGGCCTCCTCCTCTCCCTCCCTACTCGGCATTTCCCTACCCTTCACAAACTCTCGGCCATTTCCCTACTTGTTTAAACCTACTCCTACGCAAGTGCTGCTCACTGGAAGATGTCCCACGATCTCCCATCGCAATTGCCATGGCCTCCTCCTCTCCCTCCCTACCCGGCATTTCCCTGCCCGGCATTCGCCTTATGGGGAATCTATCCCAGCTGCAACACTCTCCCATTGTGCCCATTCCCATGCATCTTCCTTCTTTTAGGTGCCTCAAGAAATGCATTCCATGCATCTTCCTTCTTTTAGGTGCCTCAAGAAATGCATTCCATGCATCTTCCTTCTTTTAGGTGCCTCAAGAAATGCATTCCATGCATCTTCCTTCTTTTAGGTGCCTCAAGAAATGCATTCCATGCATCTTCCTTCTTTTAGGTGCCTCAAGAAATGCATTCCATGCATCTTCCTTCTTTTAGGTGCCTCAAGAAATGCATTCCATGCATCTTCCTTCTTTTAGGTGCCTCAAGAAATGCATTCCATGCATCTTCCTTCTTTTAGGTGCCTCAAGAAATGCATTCCATGCATCTTCCTTCTTTTAGGTGCCTCAAGAAATGCATTCCATGCATCTTCCTTCTTTTAGGTGCCTCAAGAAATGCATTCCATGCATCTTCCTTCTTTTAGGTGCCTCAAGAAATGCATTCCATGCATCTTCCTTCTTTTAGGTGCCTCAAGAAATGCATTCCATGCATCTTCCTTCTTTTAGGTGCCTCAAGAAATGCATTCCATGCATCTTCCTTCTTTTAGGTGCCTCAAGAAATGCATTCCATGCATCTTCCTTCTTTTAGGTGCCTCAAGAAATGCATTCCATGCATCTTCCTTCTTTTAGGTGCCTCAAGAAATGCATTCCATGCATCTTCCTTCTTTTAGGTGCCTCGAGAAATGCATTCCATGCATCTTCCTTCTTTTAGGTGCCTCAAGAAATGCATTCCATGCATCTTCCTTCTTTTAGGTGCCTCAAGAAATGCATTCCATGCATCTTCCTTCTTTTAGGTGCCTCAAGAAATGCATTCCATGCATCTTCCTTCTTTTAGGTGCCTCAAGAAATGCATTCCATGCATCTTCCTTCTTTTAGGTGCCTCAAGAAATGCATTTCGTGCATCTTCTCCTCTTCCTCTTATCTCTCCCTCTTACTTCCCCTTCCTCGTTCTGTCCGTCCGCCTCCTCTTATCAGGACTCGTCTGTTGGAGAATCTATCGAAGCTGCAGCACGCACCCAGTGTGCCCTTCCACACTCGTGCCCCTGACACCCTCCTGTTCACCCTCACGCTGTGCTGAAATTCCAGTCATTTCCGTTAATCCTCCCTTCATCCCATTCCTGCCGTTCAGAACGCGCCTGCTGGAGAACCTGTCAAAGCTGCAGCATGCTCCCAGTGTGCCCTTCCACACGCGTGCCCCCGACACACAACTACCCGACGAGGTAATTCACATTCTCCTATAGACGAGACGTCTCGAAATCCCTGACTAAGTTTGAGTCGACTCAAAACTTGTCTTAAAAATAACCCACAAGAGCACAGCATCTGTAGCACGCTCCCAGTGTGCCCTTCCATGCCCGAGCGCCCGACACACAACTACCTGACGAGGTAAGCTGCACACTCTTAGATGTCTCAGATTACCTTGACTCAAGCAGAATATTTGCAGCACGCTCCCTGTGCGCCCTTCCACACCTGGGCCCCAGACACGCAACGACCTGACGAGGTAATTCACGTTCGTTCTTTCTTTACTGCCTTCAAAAAACCGACAGTGCAATAGCTTAGCAGCATGCTCCCTTTTGGGATAAACCGACAGTGCATCAGCTCGATAAACCACACTGAGCTCGATCCCAGTGTAGTGCCCTTCCACGCCCCAGCCCCTGACACCCATTTACCTAGGTGACTTTTTAGTCGACTCAAAAGTCACCCACTGTGGCGCCCTTCCACGCCCCAGCCCCTGACACCCGTTCACCTGAGGACGTGGTACTTCACGTTCCTCTCTAAGACGCTTAATAATTCCTGGCATAGAGGCACCTTTGAATCGACTCAAATGACAGTGCATCAGCTTAGGAGCTCGATCCCACTGTAGTGCCCTTCCACCACGCCCTAGCCCCTGACACCCATTTACCTAGGTGACTGTTTAGTCGACTCAAAAGTCACCCACTGTGGCGCCCTTCCACGCCCCAGCCCCTGACACCCATTTACCTGAGGACGAGGTACTTCACGTTCCTCTCTAAGACGCTTAATAATTCCTGGCATAGAGGCACCTTTGAATCGACTCAAATGACAGTGCATCAGCTTAGGAGCTCGATCCCAGTGTAGTGCCCTTCCACGCCCCAGCCCCTGACACCCATTTACCTAGGTGACTTTTAGTTGACTCAAAACCCGAATCTTGACAGGATACCGTGTTTTGAGTCACCCAGTGTGGTGCCCTTCCATCCACGCCCGAGCCCCTGACACCCATTTACCTGAGGACGTGGTACTTCATGTTCCTCTCTAAGACGCTTAATAATTCCCTGATGAGGTGAGCTGATACCCTTAATAATTCTCTGTGAGAATCAGTCCAGCACATCTGCCCCCACACCCCATCTGCCTCGCAGTCCTTGTTTGATAAAAGCGGTTACAGAGAGGGTAGTTTTTTTCGTCCCACCAATTTAGCCTTGGTATCTTTCTCACTTCCCCCAATTGCCTTGCTTCTTACCCCACAGAGCAGAGGAGGAGCCTGATGCTCGCTCGGAGGACACGGAGGCGTATGGGAACGGGGACAAGTAGGTATGTGAGCGTTCTCATCCCTACGCTCTGCCCCTCTTTGCCTCCCCACAGGAGGAGGAGGAACCCGACACTCGGCACGAAACTCGGCATGAGGACAGGGAAGCGGATGGGGATGTGTGGTTTCACTTAGCGTTCTGATGCCTCTGCTGCCCCCGCACTGCCTCCCCACAGGAGGAGGAGGAAGCCGACACTCGGCACGAGGACAGGGAAGCGGATGGGGATGCACCTTCAGTACTGGAAGGCCCAGCAGCAGCTTCTGTAAAGGAGGAAGTGAAGAGCGGGGGAGGCAAGGGCACAGCAGCAGGAGCAGGAACAGGCGGGGCAGGAGGAGCAGCAGGAGGGGCTGGGGGTGGAGGAGCTGTGACAGGGGAGGGGAAGAAGCGACCTCTACCAGAGGCTTCAGGGTGAGTGCCCCCTTGTTGAGGGTGAGTGCGCCCTTGTTGAGGGTGAGTGCGCCCTTGTTGAGGGTGAGTGCGCTCTTTGTGTTGGTAGAGGGGAAGAAGCGACCTCTACCAGAGGCTTCAGGGTGAGTGCGCCCTTGTTGAGGGTGAGTGCGCCCTTGTTGAGGGTGAGTGCGCCCTTGTTGAGGGTGAGTGCGCCCTTGTTGAGGGTGAGTGCGCTCTTTGTGTTGGTAGAGGGGAAGAAGCGACCTCTACCAGAGGCTTCAGGGTGAGTGCGCCCTTGTTGAGGGTGAGTGCGCCCTTGTTGAGGGTGAGTGCGCCCTTGTTGAGGGTGAGTGCGCCCTTGTTGAGGGTGAGTGCGCCCTTGTTGAGGGTGAGTGCGCTCTTTGTGTTGGTAGAGGGGAAGAAGCGACCTCTACCAGAGGCTTCAGGGTGAGTGCTGTGTGGGATGGGTGCGAGTGCCCTGCTTGTAGAGGGATTTCAGGGATGGGGAGGCTAGCAGGAAAGAAGCAGGAGGAGGAGGGGGGGAGAAATGACCTCTACCTGAGTGCGAGTGCCCTGCTTGCTGAGTGTTTTTATGGGTGCAGGTTTAGTCCCCCCCCCACACTGTTTGCCCACCTGTTGGGCGCAAATTGGAGTGACCACTGAAAGCAGAGCCGGCTTCGTTGTCTTCTCGCCCATTCAATACTCAACAAAAGCCATCTTTGCGGCGTCTCAAAACTCAATCAAAGCGAAGCCATCTTTGATGCGTCTCAAAACTCACTCAAAGCGAAGCCGTCCTGCCTATCCCTACTCCCCTTCGCTGCTCAACAAATCCCCTACCTCTCCTGTCTCCCCCTCACCGTGCGTACTCTTTCCTCTGCTCCCTCCAGTCGTCCCCCCACTGCTCGCCTGCCCGTCAAGCCCAAGGTGGAGTCTTCACTCAAAGCAGAACCTGCTGCATCCCTGCCTGTTCGTCCCTTAAATACGTAACAAGCCCCCTCCCTCCCCCTTTTCCCTTTCCCACTTGCAGTCGGCCCCCCACTGCTCTCCCGCCCGTCAAGCCCAAGGTGGAGTCTTCACTCAAAGCAAAGCCTGCTGCCTTCCTGTCTATGTGCCCCCATCCCCCCCTTCTCCATGCTCCCCGTTGCTTCTGCTCCCTCCAGTCGTCCCCCCACTGCGCGCCCACCTGTCAAGCCCAAGGTGGAGTCTTCACTCAAAGCAGAGCCTGCTTCTACACCAGCTCGAGCTGCCGTACCTGCTGACAAGGTATTTCCTTACCGGAGCTGGAGCCGAGGTTCGGTAACCCAGGCCTTTCGGTGCCTCCAGGCCTGGTACCGTATTGCATTCTAGGGCCTGCTAACCATGCTTTGGTTTTCTCATTGCTTGTCAATCAAGAGAGATTTTTCCTTCACCAAATTTCACCATCCTCCCTCTCCGCCTCTCCTCCCCCCACCCCCCACCTCCCACCCCTCATCCCTCATCCGTGGTATTAATCCGGCAGAAGGAAGATTCGATACACGGCAGCTCTCCGTCCACTCGTGGGCTGACACCTGGCGAGGCAGCTGCAGGAGGGGCAAGGGAGAAGGGGAGTGAGAAGGGGTCTGGCAGTGGCTTATCCCGCAAGGTGTCTCCATACAGACAAGGGAGCCTGGGTGACTAACACGTCTGAGTTTACTAAATTGCCACGTTTGAGTTGACTCGTCACTTTTGGCTCGACTCAATCGAGTGGCGCTTTTAAGTGACCTAGAGGACGAGGAGTCAGGTCAGGTGGCTTATCCCGCAAGGCATCTCCATACAGACTAGGGAGCCTGGTTGACTAACGCATTACTGTCCATACCGGTACGGTAATTGATCATTCTTTTGTTTTCACGTTTGAGACCCAATCAATGTGCTACGCAATTGTACTTTTTGGTGTCAAATGAAAGAAATACACTGGCAAGCACTCTCAGCTGCACCTGTAACTTGCTAGAATGACAGTTTGTTTACTAGCAAAGAAAACGGCCTTTTTGTGTTGTGGGGTCTGCTGAACTGTGCATTGCTGCTTCTCCTTACCCGATCTGGTACCGTTGGTTCGTTTTGGTTGCTCTTGAAAGGGAACACCTGAGTTGCAAAACGTCAACATACCAAAATCAGGATAAATCAGCCAAGTGGGGTGGGCAAGGCAGCAATATCACTCAATAAAGCAAACGGTAAAAGTGAACAATATGTCAATATATTATTATTGACGTGCGCCTGTAACTCAGTGGATAGAGTGTTCGCTTCCTAAGCGAAAAGTCCTAGGTTCGACCCCTAGCTGGCGCGAGTGCAATTTTGCTTACTAACAGTTGCCTGGCTAAGCCAAGATTTAGATTTGGCTCCATCCATTACCACTTCCTGTACCATTTTGCCCATCCCCGAACGATCTCCATTTTTTGCGGCTGACCAGTGACCACACTGTGTTCCATAGGGAATTCTCTAGTGATGAAATGCAGTAGCTTCCAGCCAGCTTAACTGAGCCTTCTTTTTGTATCAAACTAGAATACTACCGTATGCATGGATGATACAGCCAAACCTGATAGGAGCTTGGGATGGTATCATGGTACATATCAAGAGAAAACAGCAACGGAATGTGGATAACATGCAACTCAGAGAATAGTGTTCTTGTGTTGTGAGCGGTACAGCTTCCAGGTCTGGGCTGGACTGGAATACACGCGTGCGTCCCATCCCATCCCATGGCAGTACGGTATGTTGCATTTGCAGCCCACCCATTGCATAGACAGCTCCACCACCCATAGACTTCTTAGTACCGTACCTGCAACCCATGCCCATTCCATTAGGAATTTGTGACATTGCTAGAATACACTTCGCAATCCATGCTAGCTTTGCTTGAGTTTTGCCTGTCTAGACATGATTACAATACAACTTGCCATGTCCCTTTCTCCAAAGCATGTATTTCTACACTACACATTCTACGATTTATCAAATTTTCCTACCCATAAGGGGGGCTATCCCAGAAATGTCACACATTGGTCCAATCGCGCACCACTAGCCGCTTGCCCCGGTGGATTGCCAGCCGCACGCGAGGAAGCTTCTTGCGAATTTCCCTCCACACCATGCTGACCGCGTCACCTGGTTGCGATGGGTACTGTGGTATGAGGGGGAGGGGGAGAAGGAGGGGAAGGGGGGGAAAGGGGGGAAGGAGGGGAAGGAGGGGAAGGGGGGAAGGGGGGGAAGAGAGAAGGGTTGGGAAACGCGCTTTTTGGATACTGGGATTAGGGTGAGGTCTGAGCCTCTGTACCATGCTGAGTGCCCTACTGCCACCTGGTTGCGATGGGTACAATGAGGGAAGAGGGGAGGGTTGGGAAACGCGTGTGTCGGATAATGGGAACAGGGTGAGGTCTGAGCCTCTGTACCATGCTGAGTGCCCTACTGCCACCTGGTTGCGATGGGAATCATGAGGGAAGAGGTGAGGGTTGGGAAACGCGTGTGTCGGATAATGGGAACAGGGTGAGGTCTGAGCCTCTGTACCATGCTGAGTGCGTCACCTGGTTGCGATGGGAATAATGAGGGAAGAGGGGAGAGGAGAGGAGAGAGAGGAGGGTCGTAGCCTACCGCCTACCAGCCTACCCACCTGGAACTCGCGTGCATTGAGGTGTATTTTGAGGCGCCTCAAAATACACCTCGATGCACGGGAGAGGAGAGGAGGGAGAGGAGGGTTGTAGCCTAACGCCTACCAGCCTACCCACCTACCGACCTGGAACTCAAAGTGCTGCTTCACTTGCTGCAGGCTCTGCCACATGCGCAGGCACCTCTCCCTGGGGAATGAGCAAGCAAGCCCACTGGAGGGAAAGCAGCCTCGCAGCTTACCAACCCCCCAGCCTTCCAGCTCACACCCACTCAAACCCCACCTGGAACTCAAAGTGGTGCTTCCCGCGCTGCAGGCTCTGCCACATGCGCAGGCACCTCTCCCTGGGGAATGTGCAAGCAAGCCCACTGGAGGGACACCAGCCTACCAGTCTACAAGCGTGCAAAGGAGAGTCTGAAAACCCACCTGGAACTCAAAGTGGTGCTTCACTTGCTGCAGGTTCTGCCACATGCGCAGCCACCTCTCCTTGGGGAATGTGCGCAGCAGGCGCAGCAGATAGCCCTGGCGCAGGGCGTCCTGGGAGAAAGAGAGTACGGGGGCAGAGGCATGAGATAACAAACAGGGGGTGAGACAGAGCCCTGGGGAATGTGCGCAGCAGGCGCAGCAGATAGCCCTGGCGCAGGGCGTCCTGGGGCCAGGGGAGGGGAGGGTATGGACGGATTGGGAGATTAGGAGAAAGAACGTAGCAAGTTCAGAGGGAGGGACTGCATTGGGGAATGTGCGCAGCAGGTAGCCCTGGCGCAGGGCGTCCTGATGGGGAGATGGGTAGGCGGAGAAGGAGAGTAAAGGGAGAGGGGGAGGGTAAGATATCAGGGTGAGGAACGACTCATGGAATGTGTGCAGCAGGCGCAGCAGGTAGCCCTGGCGCAGGGCGTCCTGGGGGAGGGGAGAGTGGGGGATCAGGAGAAAGAATGTAACAAGTTCAGAGAGAGCGACGCTGGTCACAACAAACACGCAGTGGCTGGTGATGGGACTCTCACCTCAAGACATACCCAAGTCGCAAGGGGTCCAGGGATGGATGGAGAGAGGCTCACCTCGTGGGAGACGAACAGCGTGAAGTCGGAGTAATCGATCAACGTCTCAAAGGGCAGCTCGATCTTGTTGCTCATGACCACCAGCACGCAGTGGCTGGCGATGGGACGCACCGATGGGGCTCCCCTCTAGAGACACTCCCAATTCACAGAGAGAGCTCACCTCATGGGAGACAAAGAGAGTGAAGTCGGAGTAGTCTATCGATGTCTCAAAGGGCAGCTCGATCTTGTTGCTGATGACCACCGGCACACAGTGAGTGGCTGGTGATGGGACTCACCTCTCAAGGCACATCCAGTCAACCCCTCCAGCAATCATAGTCGATTGAAAAGGCTCACCTCATGGGAGACAAAGAGCGTGAAGTCTGAATAGTCAATCGATGTCTCAAAGGGCAGCTCGATCTTGTTGCTGATGACCACCGGCACACAGTGAGTGGCTGGTGATGGGACTCTCCTCTGGACTCCAGAGAGTACCCAAAACCCTAAACCCTAGTCCCATAGAGAGAGAGAGAGAGAGAGAGAGAGAGAGAGAGAGAGAGAGAGAGAGAGAGAGAGAGAGAGAGAGAGAGAGAGAGCTCACCTCATGGGAGACGAAGACAGGTAAGTCGGAGTAGTCTATCGATGTTTCAAAAGGCAGCTCGATCTTGTTGCTCATGACCACCGGCACGCAGCGGCTGGCGACGGGACTCCCCTTACAAGACACTCCCACTGGCACAGAGGCTGGCAGGGAAAAGAACCGATAGTCTCCCACCATAGGGCTCACCTCGTGGGAGACAAAGAGAGTGAAGTCGGAGTAATCGATCAACGTCTCAAAGGGCAGCTCGATCTTGTTGCTGATGACCACGGGCACGCAGTGGCTGGCGATGGGACGCACCGATGGGGCTCCCCTCTAGAGACACTCCCAATTCACAGAGAGAGCTCACCTCATGGGAGACAAAGAGAGTGAAGTCGGAGTAGTCTATCGATGTCTCAAAGGGCAGCTCGATCTTGCTGCTCATGACCACGGGAATGCAGTGATGCTCACTTCCAGTTTCATTCCATGCAGAAGACTCACCTCATGGGAGACGAACAGAGTGAAGTCTGAATAGTCAATTGACGTCTCAAAGGGCAGCTCGATCTTGTTGCTCATGACCACGGGCACGCAGTGGCTGGCGATGGGACTCACCTCTCAAGGCACATCCAGTCAACCCCTCCAGCAATCATAGTCGATTGAAGAGGCTCACCTCATGGGAGACAAAGAGCGTGAAGTCTGAATAGTCAATCGATGTCTCAAAGGGCAGCTCGATCTTGTTGCTGATCACCACCGGCACGCAGTGAGTGGCTGGTGATGGGACTCTCCTCTGGACTCCAGAGAGTACCCAAAACCCTAAACCCTAGTCCCATAGAGAGAGAGAGAGAGAGAGAGAGAGAGAGAGAGAGAGAGAGAGAGAGAGAGAGAGAGAGAGAGAGAGAGAGAGCTCACCTCATGGGAGACGAAGACAGGTAAGTCGGAGTAGTCTATTGATGTTTCAAAAGGCAGCTCGATCTTGTTGCTCATGACCACCGGCACGCAGCGGCTGGCGATGGGACTCTCCTCTGTCACCTCTACACGAGATGTCTCACTCAGAAAACAGCTAGGTCTGAGGCAAGAGACTCACCTCGTGGGAGACAAAGACAGTGAAGTCGGAGTAGTCTATTGATGTTTCAAAAGGCAGCTCGATCTTGTTGCTGATGACCACCGGCACGCAGTGAGTGGCTGGCGATGGGACTCTCACCTTTAGAGAGACATTCCCAAGTCACATAGAGAGATGGCTCACCTCATGGGAGACAAACAGCGTGAAGTCGGAGTAGTCTATTGATGTTTCAAAAGGCAGCTCGATCTTGTTGCTGATCACAACGGGCACGCAGTGGCTGGTGATGGCGTCAAAGAGTCGGGCGGATGAAGGGGTGTCTCCCGCCGCGTTCAGGCAGAAGCGCGAATTCCTCAGCCCCTCTGCTGCCTGTGAGGGTTGAGAGAGGGGAGGAAGGAGGGACGCAGTGGAGGGAAGGAGGGAGAGAGGGAGTGACCACCGGCACACAGTGGCTGGCAATGGCGTCAAAGAGTCGGGCGGATGAAGGGGTGTCTCCCGCCGCGTTGAGGCAGAAGCGGGAACTCCTCAGACCCTCTGCTGCCTGTTGGGTGGGAAGGGAGAGGGAAGGAGGGAGAGAGGGAGTGACCACCGCCACACAGTGGCTGGTGATGGCGTCAAAGAGGCGGGCGGACGAAGGGGTGACTCCCGCCGCGTTCAGACAGAAGCGCGAATTCCTCAGCCCCTCTGCTGCCTGTGAGGGTTGAGAGAGGGGAGGAAGGAGGGACGCAGTGGAGGGAAGGACAAGGAGGGGGGGGAGTGAGCACGGGCACGCAGTGGCTGGTGATGGGCTCAAACAGGCGGGCGGACGAAGAGGCACTGTACCGTAACACACTGTTCTGTACCGTACCGTACCGCACGGCACCGTACCGAGATGATGTCTTGCGGGCCGGTGATCTTGCTCTCCACGAACCTCACATCCGGCTCCTTGTGATACATGTCAAAGATGAGCTTCCCCTTCCTGATCGAGCCCCATAACATAACATGCCGTACCGTACTGTACCTCACTGAACCGCACTGTACCACACTGTACCGCACTGTACCGCACTGTACCACACCATACAGCAGCCATACCGAGATAATATCTTGTGGCCCAGTGATCTTGCTCTCCACGAATCTCACATCCGGCTCCTTGTGATACATGTCAAAGATGAGCTTGCTCCTCCCGGTCGAAGCTTACAACCTAGCATAACACACCATACTACACCGCACCGTTCTGTACCGCACTGTACCACACCATACAGAGGCCATACCGAGATAATATCTTGTGGCCCGGTGATCTTGCTCTCCACGAATCGGACATCGGCTCCTTGTGATACATGTCAAAGATGAGCTTGCTCCTCAGACGAGCCCTATAGCATAGCATACTGTACAGAACCACACCGCACTGTATCACACCGCACCGTACCATACCATACCGTATATTTCACCCACCGAGATGATGTCTTGCGGGCCGGTGATCTTGCTCTCCACGAATCGGACATCGGGCTCCTTGTGGTACATGTCAAAGATGAGCTTGCGGATGTACCCCTCCTGCTCGTGCCATGCCAGGAAGAAATGCAACAAACCATGCCATTGTGACAACAAAAGCAACACATGCCATGTCATATCATGCCATGCCATACCATGCATACCGCCATGCCATGCCATGGGCATCCACACACCATGTCATGCCATGATCCATCCCCATTCCCAAACATGAAAGCAGGTGAGACAGAACCAAGGAGAATAGTGGTGTCGCCACGAAGTGATGTGACCCATTGAGGTTGATTCTGAGAATTCTCAAAATCAACCCCAACATGAACTCCCAAAATCAACCCCAACATGAACTCCCAAAATCAACCTCAATCCACGAAGTGATGTGACCCATTGCCGACCCACACTTTTACCCAATGTGTTTCTGCGACCAGTTACACGCCCACCCACCCATCCTCCCCTCACACTCACATCCTTCCTCATAATCGTCCCTTGGAAGAACAGCAGCGTGGTTTGCGCCTCCCACGGCCCCTGTGTGTCTCCATAGCTCGCAAACACACCACCCTTTCCCCATCCATACGCCCCATTCAATCTTCTCCCTCTCATCCCCGTCACACTCACCCACCCACCCTCCCGCGTCACTCACATCCTTCCTCATGATGGTCCCTTGGAAGAACAGCAGTGTTGTTCGCGCTTCCCACGGCCCGTGCGCCTCCCCATAGCTAGCCAGCTCTCCCTGTGCAACTCCCTAAGTCATCAGCACTCACTCTTTCAAATTGCCCACTCTCTCGCCCCCGTGTCACACTCACATCCTTCCTCATAATCGTCCCTTGGAAGAACAGCAGTGTCGTTCATGCCTCCCAGGGCCCCTGCGCCTCCCCGTAGCTCGAAAGCTCACCCGATGCCACACCCTTTCCCTGTCCATACACCACCTTTTCATATGCGCCCTCTCACCCCCGTGCCACTCACATCCTTCCTCATGATCGTCCCTTGGAAGAACAGCAGCGTCATTCGCACCTCCCAGGGCCCCCGCGCCTCCCCATAGCTCGCAGTCTCTTCCTATGCCCCATCAATACGCCCCCATATGACATGCTCCCTCTGAACCCCTCCACTCACATCCTTCCGCGTGATGGTCCCTTGGAAGAACAGCAGCGTCGGTCGCGCCTCCTCCCTGACCGACCCAACCACCCAAGCCCCCCTCACACTCACATCCTTCCGCATGATGGTCCCTTGAAAGAACAGCAGCATCGTTCTGGTCTCCCAGGGCCCCTGCGCCTCCCCATAGCTAGCAACCTCTTCCTATGCCACTCCCTTTCAGCGTCAGACGCTGAGACGCCCCCATTTCACATGCTCCCTCTCACCCCCGTGTCACACTCACATCCTTCCTCATGATCGTCCCTTGGAAGAACAGCAGTGTGGTTCGGGCCTCCCAGGGCCCCTGCGCCTCCCCATAGCTCGCAAAATCTCCCTATGCCACACCCTTTCCCCATCCATACGGCCCCAATCAACATGCTCCCTCTCATCCTTCCTCCCGTTACACTCACATCCTTCCTCCCGTTACACTCACATCCTTCCTCATGATGGTCCCTTGGAAAAACAGCAGCGTGGTTCGTGCCTCCCAGGGCCCCTGCGCCTCCCCATAGCTCGCCGGCTCTGAGTAAGGCGGCGCTATGTGGTTGTATGGGACCACTATGTCCTTGCTCAAGCGCGCTACTCCTTGGGCGTACCTGCATTGAATTAGGGGGATATGTTTAGGTGTTAGCACAAGGAAATGTAGGGTTTGAGTGACCCTCTGTGTAAGGCGGCGCTATGTGGTTGTACGGGACCACTATGTCCTTGCTCAAGCGCGCTACGCCTTGGGCGTATCTGGTAGGTGGGTGGACCGAACAGAACCGAGAGAAGGAATGGGTTTGGAAGGCAAGAGGTTTCCAAACTCTGTGTAAGGCGGCGCTATGTGGTTGTATGGCACCATGTGCTTGTATGGCACCATGTGCTTGTATGGTGAGGCGACTCAAAAGCTACCTCCACACAATGTTAGGGAGAGCACACTAGAGGTACTCACCGGCCAAAGTCGAGCAGCAGGCAGGAACATGGCTGGGGCGAGGCGATGGTGAATTCGGCGCCACAAGCGTGCAAACTTGGAGTGACAAATGACTCAGACCCAGCAGTCTGAAGAGACTCAGTCGAGCAGCAGGCAGGCACATGGGCGAGGCGAGGCGCTGGTGAATTCGGTGCCACAAAAGAGGTACATGCAGACTCAAAGTGACTCCTGACTCAGACCAAGCAGTCTAAGGGGACTGACTGGCCGAAGTCGAGCAGCAGGCAGGAACATGGCCGGGGCGAGGCGCTGGCGAATGTGGCGAAGGGCGTTTGGCTGAAGCATGGGGATGATGTGATCCCTTCGGGAGCTCTGAGCAGTTATTTTCTGACAATACCTGATGATGTGGTCCCTGCCTCCCGACTCAAACCACGCATCTGACTCTGTCTGACCCAAGAGAGCGGACCAGTGAGACTTGAAGGAGAAGACAGTTAAGGGACCCACCGGCCGAAGTCGAGTAGGAGGAACATGGCCGGGGCGAGGCGCTGGCGAATGTGGCGAAGCGCGTTGGGCTGCAGCATGGGGATGATGTGATCCCTGCCTCCCGACCGCTTCCACCAGGGCGACACCTTTAACACGCCCCACAGCTCCTCCTGTCCAACGCAGACAGACAGACAACAACACCGCAGGAAAAGTGAGACGGGAATGTACGCTACAGGCTGCAGCAGCGTTGGGCTACAGCATGGGGATGATGTGATCCCTGCCTCCCGACCTCTTCCACCAGGGCGACACCTTTAACACGCCCCACAGCTCCTCCTGTCCAACGCAGACAGACAGACAACAACACCGCAGGAAAAGTGAGACGGGAATGTACGCTAAAGGCTGCAGCAGCGTTGGGCTGCAGCATGGGGATGATGTGATCCCTGCCTCCCGACCGCTTCCACCAGGGCGACACCTTTAACACGCCCCACAGCTCCTCCTGTCCAACGCAGACAGACAGACAACAACACCGCAGGAAAAGTGAGACGGGAATGTACGCTAAAGGCTGCAGCAGCGTTGGGCTGCAGCATGGGGATGATGTGATCCCTGCCTCCCGACCGCTTCCACCAGGGCGACACCTTTAACACGCCCCACAGCTCCTCCTGTCCAACGCAGACAGACAGACAACAACACCGCAGGAAAAGTGAGACGGGAATGTACGCTACAGGCTGCAGCAGCGTTGGGCTGCAGCATGGGGATGATGTGATCCCTGCCTCCCGACCGCTTCCACCAGGGCGACACCTTTAACACGCCCCACAGCTCCTCCTGTCAAACAGAGACACACAACAACACAGCAGGAAATGTAAGACGGGGATGTATGCGACAGGCCACAACAGTGGCGAAGGGCGTTGGGGTGCAGCATGGGGATGATGTGATCCCTGCCTCCCGACCGCTTCCACCAGGGCGACACCTTTAACACGCCCCACAGCTCCTCCTGTCCAACGCAGACAGACAGACAACAACACCGCAGGAAAAGTGAGACGGGAATGTACGCTACAGGCTGCAGCAGCGTTGGGCTACAGCATGGGGATGATGTGATCCCTGCCTCCCGACCGCTTCCACCAGGGCGACACCTTTAACACGCCCCACAGCTCCTCCTGTCCAACGCAGACAGACAGACAACAACACCGCAGGAAAAGTGAGACGGGAATGTACGCTACAGGCTGCAGCAGCGTTGGGCTGCAGCATGGGGATGATGTGATCCCTGCCTCCCGACCGCTTCCACCAGGGCGACACCTTTAACACGCCCCACAGCTCCTCCTGTCCAACGCAGACAGACAGACAACAACACCGCAGGAAAAGTGAGACGGGAATGTACGCTACAGGCTGCAGCAGCGTTGGGCTGCAGCATGGGGATGATGTGATCCCTGCCTCCCGACCGCTTCCACCAGGGCGACACCTTTAACACGCCCCACAGCTCCTCCTGTCAAACAGAGACACACAACAACACAGCAGGAAATGTAAGACGGGGATGTATGCGACAGGCCACAACAGTGGCGAAGGGCGTTGGGGTGCAGCATGGGGATGATGTGATCCCTGCCTCCCGACCGCTTCCACCAGGGCGACACCTTTAACACGCCCCACAGCTCCTCCTGTCCAACGCAGACAGACAGACAACAACACCGCAGGAAAAGTGAGACGGGAATGTACGCTACAGGCTGCAGCAGCGTTGGGCTACAGCATGGGGATGATGTGATCCCTGCCTCCCGACCGCTTCCACCAGGGCGACACCTTTAACACGCCCCACAGCTCCTCCTGTCCAACGCAGACAGACAGACAACAACACCGCAGGAAAAGTGAGACGGGAATGTACGCTACAGGCTGCAGCAGCGTTGGGCTGCAGCATGGGGATGATGTGATCCCTGCCTCCCGACCGCTGCCACCA